ACGGTGGGCGCCAAACTGTAGACATAAAAATTTACCTATACAGAAGGGGGGTCTAATCCTGTGAGATTGAGGCCACTAGCGATCCGCCGCACCTACACACGTAGAGAAACAAACGCGTGAAGCGAATGGGAAACACCGGGGTGGTGTTTGCCGTAGGCACTCCGACACTCAAGTTAGGAAGGCTGAAAGAGGCTAGTATAGTGAAGGCTAAGGAGTAGAGAGGTTACAAGAAGTCTAGTCGGAGACTGTGAGTACGGCAGTGATGTGAAGCTCTCAAGTAGGAGCTTTGGGTGTGAAGGTGTAATGTCATCTATCCTTTGTGAGAGGGCTAACCTCTGTTTATATAGCGATTGTCTGATCTCCCAATCCTGGTGGGAGTAGGAGTCCTAGTGTGACTCTGATGCAAACCTGGTGGTGAGCTGTCTTACCTGCGTCCGAATAGGAAGGTGATCCGAACAAGAAAATCACTTCGAATAGGAGATTAATCAGGAACAAGAAAGTGATCAGTGGGGGCTGTGGGCTCTAAACTCGCCTATAGGCCCGGGAAGTGAACATGAACTGGGAGGCTCGTGCCCAGATGGTTTGGGCAGGCCGTATCTCGTATCGAATGGGACTAATCTGGCTTGGGCCTCTTTGGGATTGGGCCTGGCCTCTTCTTCGTTGGTGGTCCTGTTTTCCTATTTGGACCAAGGACGATTTTTAGCCCTAACAATGATGTAAGTGGCATGCAGTGGGCGAGCGCCAAGCTAGCGAATGGTTGAATATCGTCCGCGTGTCCAATCCCTGCATAAATTGAGGAAATCACTCGGGCAGGTGAGCAATTGGTCGCAGAGAAGGATTTGCACGGTATCCACCCACTTGCAGAATTAGTAATCATGACCTTGGTTTATCCCACTATAAATAGAGGACTTTTCTTTCATTTGCGGGATTAACTAATTTCACTCTAGAATAGCTTACTTTCTCTCTCTCTCTCTCTTTGTCTTGTATTCTCTAAGTTATAACTCAGCTCACTTTACGCGATCTGACCTTACTCATTAATACAATATCAGTGGACGTAAGATTCGCTTTTGAGCATCCGAACCACTTTAAACATTGTTTCTCACCCTTTATTAAATTCAATACCCTCATATCATGTGTGACTTCTAATTTTTTTTAGCATTTGTCACGTGCGAATAGTTAGTGTTAAAATCAAGCATCAACAATTAGAAATTGATAATCTAGCCTGGCGAAGACCTCGAGTCCCAATTCAACCAATCAGGCCGAACCGGGTTTTAAAACCTTGTCCTGAAACTGGAAGATTTTCCAAGTGTTTTGAAAAAGGCCTGTGTAGAAAGCTATGATGATTTTTAGTCTGTACACCACTAACTCCAAATGAATGTTATAGCCACACTTCACAGCCAGAACCCCGATTTGCAATTTGCAGCAAAATTCAGAAGAAATGAATTATAATATTGAACTATTACTAACCGTGCAAAAATTCTAAACTAAATTAACTATTGCTTAGCCCTGGAAAAAGACACAGACAATGGCCTTATTATTTGTTGTTGACCAAACATGAGATGAAAACCCTCTATATCTACAGCTTGTTATAATACTGTTTATCTATGTTTTAAACTATTTTTTAAGATGGCTTGTATGGGAGTTGCGTGTCAGGTGTTACACCTGGAGAATACTCCTTTTTTTCCACCCAAAACAAACATTTGATGTCCATGTCAACTACCGTGACGGGGTAGTTTATATTTTATTTATAAATTCATTATTTCTTGGGGGGATTTTTGTTATTTGATTAAACCTCAGGGGTGAACTTAGATTAAATTTTCTAAAGATCCCACCAACTGTCTGTCCAACTAAGATGGAGTTGGTGACACTAAAACTAATTATTGTGCCATTTTTCTATTGGCATATGCTGAGTTGGAAAGACACCAAATCAGATTTTCTGTATCATTTAGCCAGAATTGAAGAACACAAGTAAAAAATCAATAACAGGAAGATTTGGAGAAACACTAGATCACTGCTGTCTTATTAAAATATTAAGAAGAAATATAACTACAGAGTACAGAACAGGCAAACCAATTGGCCATATAATATAAGTTCATTAATAAAATTGTAAAATGTAAGACAACATAGATGAGTTGTTTGGTTGGTTCCACTTTGGACCATTTTAAATCGAGTGGAATCTTTGTACTTCAAGTAGTCATTTAATACGTACCTCCCAAGGGTCAGGAATTACCATTCTAACCCTTTTCAAGGGATTCTACCTATAAACGCAAAATATTGTTCAACATGGATATCGGGCACAATATAATTTTTTTCTCTAGGAGTACAATTGAGACAAGGGGCAAAATGGTCTTTATAACAATCAATAATTCGCTTCATTTCTAATTAAGCCTTCCTCTAGCTATACCATCAAACTGTGAAAATAAATTTTAGCTTAATCATTATAGTAAAGATCTTCATCCATGCTTTCCGTAATGCCTAATTACTCATTTTACCCACATATTAATAAAACAATACTATCTTTGTGTAACCAGAGCGAGTATTTTTTAAAAAGAATCAATTGGTTGTACAAGAGTTTACGATAAGCTCGAAGTTAGTGACAGCTCGGAGAAAGTGAAGCTTGAAGCAACAAGCAAAGCTCAATAGAGGAAGTTGACCGATAATTGTTTTAGAGGAAGTTGACCGATAATTGTTTCACAGATTATCGATAAACCTTATCTCTTAATATTAAGGACAGGATTTCAAAACCTTATAGTTCAATCCTAGATTTAGCACAATCATGGGATTAACTTCCCATGATTAAATGTGATCCCTAAAAGAACTCACTTACCATTATCAAATTCTTTTATAAATAACTCAAAAAAACACATAATAAGAGATGAGCAATTCTATATTTAAAGCATTAATAAGATAACAATGGATATAGGTAAGATGTTTAACTCACCGAACCACTTTATAAACTATTTTGTATCTTTTTTTTTTCTTTTACTGATTTTAATTAATCATGCGCATATTCAATTCAATTTCGTCAAGTCAATCGGATTTCGTTAGCTATTGCGGAATTTCGTAACAACATAATCAATTAATTAATAGATAAAATTATATATGTACCATGTAAAACACCATATAATTAATCATATTTTGTACTATAACAATAACACCACGGAGTATTAGTAACATGTTATTTATGGTATACAGAATAATATTTATGTTATAAATTTGTAATTACAGTTATTAAAATTGTGTTACCTTAATCACTATTTAATGACGATAATGTACCAAGATTACAACCACTATACTATTTTTAATTTATATTATATAAATATGAACTAAATTCAATGTGAATCAAATATAATTATTTATATTGTATTAAAATTTTGAAAAATCTTACGTATAATTAAATTTAAATTTCGAAATTTTAAAATTTGATATCTTAAATGTAAGTTAATAAAAAACAATAAATATATTAATTAAAATACTGAATTGGATCAATCTAATATTGTATATCAATTAATTGTCTCCGTAAATTTAGAAAATTTAATGACTGGGGAAGATGATTAACGTGATTAAAAAGTGATTATAGTTGAGCTGTCGTTTTGACCTAAAGACGCCCAATCACAACACATAAAACGATTTCTTTTTTGAAAAAAGAAACACAAACTGGCCAAACACAGCCTAACAGCATACGTTCTACTTGGCACTTGCTAGATGATCGATTCATCAATTTAAAATAATTTTAAATTTCACGCAAAACAAAACCCCGAGAAATTGACAGAAACCGAGAGAAAATTAAATCAGAGTTACTATTTTTTATTTTTTGCTCTCACGACACGAAAATCAAAATTCATTTCCTGAAACTCAAAGACCTAACAGTCTTCGCGTTGAATATTAAAAAAAAAAAATAGAAAGAAAAGAAAAGTATATAATCATTTACTCTTTGATTCTCATTTTCCTCGCTATCCAAAGGAACACCGATCGATGTCATTCGTGGTTTGATTTTTAGCTTTTGAGATGATGTTAAGATCGAGATTCGATTGCAGGTTATAGATTTTTTTTTCTTTTTTCTTTTTTGATTGTCATTTGAAGCAGAAGATGAGCTCGCGGAAGCAAGTGATGATTCGAGACTTGGTGGAGGAGGCTAAGAAGAGGATTGTGTTTTTGGCGATATGCGTTGTCGGATTGTCCTACTTAATGTCATGTAAGTGTCGTTTAATTCTTTTTTGGTTGTGAAATTATGTTGATTCTTTTATGAATCTGTATTGAAGTCCAGTGAGATGGTTTAGAAGTATTGTGAGTTTGTTTAGTTTGATTTTATTTAATAATCTCTTCAATGGAATTAAACAAAGGGCTGAGCAAGTCTTTGAAAGGTTTGGAGTTGGTTTACTGGAGTTAATTTTGGTGAAGAAAACCATTGTATCTTAAATGTTTGGTTGCAAAGGGCAATAAATCTAGTTTATGTGTTGTGTCTGTAAGTCGCAAATTAGAATGCTGATATGCACTCGGTCGGTGTCCAGATTACGTTGAAGTTTTGGAATAAATTTAGTTTAGTGAATCAACAAAGTATTTACCAGTCGTTTGTATTGAATTGGGATTTTTTGAGCCGAGATTGTGGCTGAGTTTGCTGTATTGCTTCCTTTTACCAAATTTGTCGATTAAAGTGTGTGTGTTACTGTGACTTTGGATTTTTATTCAATTTATGAGTTAGTGCCTTTTCAGTTTGTTGTTTTCTTTGCCTTTTGCATGCCACCATTGAGAGAAATCTGAAGCTCAACCACTCTATTCCGCATCATCATTTCTCAACTTCTATTCCATCATTGCGCTACTCTATGCACTGTTGTTTCTGTGATTTGTAGTCACTCAATTTTGCTATATATTTTCTTATCAATCTCAATATCTGAGTTAGGGTTTGCAGGGGTTTAGGGTTTCTGGAGAATATAAGGTTTATAAGATTAGTTAATGCTTGTCTCTGGGGGCTATATGTCTGCTCCTTTGGCAGATTACAAGTGCCTGAGGGATGACAGAGTACCTACTTTATGTTATCCATCTCAATCACTTTGTAGCGATTTTTCTTTTGGTTTCTTGCTGATTATTAGAGGATGGAAGATGCGTTTTCAATCTTAATAATAGATATCTGAAGCCTTAAATAAATGGGTTCCTCCTTGGAAAAGATATGATCAAATAATTACTGGAAAGACAAGAAAGTGGATGCATAGCAAATGTGTGCCTTATTTTTTTTTTTTTTTTTAAATTTTTTTCTTTTATTGATTGTGGCTCGAGGCTTTTAAGTATTTCATTGAATTTTTTTTTTCTTTTAATGCTGTTGTTTTCGTAGTTATATTTATCTTTGCATCTTCACTTGTCATTAATTGTACTTACTGTTCAAATCCTTATTGCAGTGACAAGCTCCTCGGTTTTTGTAAACTTGCCTGCTGCTGCCTCCTTAATTATCCTCCTTCGGTATTTCTCCTTGGATTTTGAAATGAGGAGAAAAGCTGCATCATACAGTAGTAAACCTTCCTCCGGAAACATAGTGTCTGAAAATAAACCTCCAGAGTGTAGTAAAGTTGTTAAACATTCTGACTGGAGAAGGAATGTCAATTCTCCTGTTGTTGAGGAGGCAATCGATACATTCACAAGGCATTTAGTTTCTGAGTGGATTGCAGATCTCTGGTACTCCCGTTTAACACCTGATAAAGAAGGCCCTGAGGAACTGGTACATATCATAAATGGTGCTCTAGGGGAATTTTCAGGTCGAATGAGGAATATAAATCTTATTGATCTTTTGACAAGGTTTATGTTCTTTCCCTCATTGTGTTTCTAAATTCAATTCACTTGAAATCAAGAGTGTAATGACTTGGGAACTAAAGTTCTTCTAGAATGATGCAGGGATCTTGTTAATCTCTTTTGCACCCACTTGGAGCTCTTTCGTGCTAGTCAGGCTAAGATTGAAAAGCATCAATCAGAAACTCTGACTATTGAACTAAGAGACATGGAAATAAGACGTGTTTTGGCTGCTGAGGACAAGTTGCACCCTGCTCTATTTTCTGCTGAAGCTGAGCACAAGGTTGTTCTCTTTGTATTTTGATCTTTAAATAACTGAAAGGTGAAGCTACTGTTTCTTGACTATTTCTGCTTGTGCCGACGATGCTGACAACACTTTCTTCACCTTATATATTGCAGGTTTTGCAGTTCTTAATGGATGGTCTCATTTCTTTCACATTCAGACCTGAAGATCTTCAGTGCTCTTTTTTTCGTTATACTGTAAGGGAGCTGCTTGCTTGTGCAGTAATGCGACCGGTCTTAAATTTGGCCAGTCCAAAGTAATCTTTCCTTCTATTTTGCCTTTCGTTTTTTCTTCTTCTTCTTTTTTTCCCTGTTCTCAGCATTATGTAATTTTGTTATAGGTTTATCAATGAAAGGATTGAATCCTTAGCCATAAATATGAGTAAGGGTAGAGGAGCTGCAGCAGCACAAGAAACATCTCAGTCCAAAGCCAATGGCTCTCCCAAGATCTCCTCTGATCACTTTTCGAGGTTTCTAGATCCTTCTGTCACTGGTGTTGAACTTGTACAGTTAAAAAATGATGAAGCTAGAACTACTGCAGTTGCAGCTACAACAGATGATCGAAATGGTACACGTTACTCAAAAGATCCATTGCTTTCCATGGATACTCGATCCTCCCATTCATGGAGCTCATTGCCCATGAACACCCCACCTAGTGATTTAAAAGTTATCCAACGATTCAATTCAAGAGGGGAATGGGGTGACATGTTAGATCACATTTCTCGCAGAAAGACTCAAGCCCTTGCTCCAGAACATTTTGAGAATATGTGGGCAAAAGGTAGGAATTACAGAAAGAAGGAAGGTGAAAATCGAGTAATTGAGCAAGTCCCGCAGCATTCTGCTGTGAAGTCTGTTTCAGTGGATTCTTTGAAGGCAACATCAAATTCCAAAGGAAAAGATAGTATGATCAAGGCTAATTCCCCAAAGAGCCACACTGCACGAGATGGGTATGCTGACCAACATGTAGATCAAAAGATATCAAATTGCTCTTCTGTCACTTCATATAAAGAGCATGATGACAGCCTCATGCCCCTGGAGGGGGTTGAATCAGGGAGCAGTAGTTCGTATACTTCAGAAGATGAAGAAACAGACAGTGCACTAGGTCTTGATTCTCCTGGAACTAAAGTTTGGGATGGAAAGAGTAACAGAAATGTGGCTGTTTCTCACATTCATCATCCACTTGAAAATCCTGATGGCCATATCTCAAAGAAGAGTGGTAGAAGACAAGTTCAATATGGATTACCTCGAACACAGTCTAGCCAGAAAAGGTTTAGGTCGAGCAGTCAGAAATTACCTGTTTGGCAAGAGGTTGAGAGGACAAGCTTCTTATCTGGAGATGGACAGGATATACTTAGTTCATCAAAAGGACTAGCAAAAATTGATGAGTCAAGTGATGATTCTGAGAGTGAAATTTTGGGTAGATCTCAAAGTGGAGCAGCTGCTTCTTCTTCTGCATCCTTTATTTCAATACCAGAAAGTCGTAGTTCAAGTGTTACTTCCCTGCAAAGTTCATTGATGGTGGATTCTTTTTTTAAGTTGAGATGTGAGGTACTTTAGCATAAAGCTTGGCACCTTCTCCAAGCATGCTTATTTTTGGTCTTTTGATACATTGAAATACGTAAAGCATGTGAACCCATTTGCTGTTGCAGGTACTGGGTGCAAATATTGTGAAGAGTGGCTCTAGAACATTTGCCGTTTATTCCATATCTGTGACGGATGCAAATAATAATTGTTGGTCTATCAAAAGAAGGTGATAAATTTTCGGCATTCTTGCTTTGTTGATGCATTCTACATTAATAATTCTTCTTTATTTCTTTCTTACGGTGGAATATTCTAACTTATAATCTGAACTTTGCTGTAAAGCTCTATTCAAGTTTCTTAAACTTCTTTTCTGCCACTAAGTGTTGTTGCTATCCTCAGGTTCCGACATTTTGAGGAGCTGCATCGACGTCTTAAATTTTTTCAAGAGTACAATCTTCATTTGCCTCCAAAACATTTTCTGTCAACAGGTTTCGATGTACCTGTCATTCGAGAACGGTGTAAATTGCTTGACATATATTTGAAGGTCAAATATTTTAATCACTTGTTTGGTGTTCTAGTTTATATGTGCCTGTTAAATTGCAACGATTGGATTAATGTTTACCTCTGAGATATTTTATGTTTTACTGTGTATTCTGATTAGGATTCTTTATGGCCTGATATTTTATTTTTAAACCTAAAATTCGCAGCACTTTAGTGCTGTTACATTAATAAAAATTTAGGTTATAACAGTGAAGGGTCTTAATCTTTTACTTATTTTTAAGTTTATGTTTTCTTCCATTTGTTTTATATAAAATTTTTATTTAGTGGTAGACACTGCATTTGAGATGTAATGGTACCATACATAGGAGAATGAATTTATGCATTCTCAAGCAATTTTGTTTTTCTTTGTTCCAGTTTATAATATATCTGTTTTATTCTTTCAATCTTTTGATAAATACTCAACTGTTTGTGGTCCACAGAAGCTACTGCAGCTTCCTACAGTTTCTGGATCAATTGAAGTTTGGGACTTTCTAAGTGTTGATTCGCAGGTTTAGTATTTTCTTTTCCCTTTGTCTGATTGTTTAAATTCTATAACCAGCAGGGATGGGAGCTATTCCACAGCTTTAACAGTTATGCATGTTTTACTTTGTCTGATGCAGACATACGTATTCTCAAATTCCTTCTCTATTGTCGAAACATTATCAGGTATATCGTGCTGAATACATGGTACATTTGCCTACTTTTTCCTGCCTTTCTCTGATTGTTCTTATATATTCATGTTGTGTTTTAATGTTCTAGTTGACCTTGAAGATAAACCATCTGAAAAGGTTTCAAATACTGCTGGGCCAGTAATCAGTCCATCCTCTAGGAGACAACAATTTGGCTCAGAAAGCAGGGAATCTGCATGGCAAGCAAAGGATAATTTTATAGCAGATGGTAAAAAAAGTAATGCAAAAGAAATGTCTCGTTCTCCTGTAAAGACCAATAATAAAGAACATGGGAAGTCATTTGATGATTCTGGAAGTGGTCCAGATAATAAAGTGCTGACTAATTCGTCATATCTCAGAAACTTGGGTAAAATTGTGAAAGGAAAAGAGAACGATGGTTCAGAAGAGAAATCTGAGTTGCTTGATGCTGCCAATGATCCAACCCTACCTAGTGAGGTAATTATGTGCTCATTTTAGATAATACTTTGTGACAATCATCTTATGCTCAGGCTTTTAACACAAATTCACATGCAGTGGGTGCCACCAAACTTAAGCGTCCCTATTTTAGATTTAGTAGATGTCATTTTCCAGCTCCAAGATGGTGGGTGGATAAGGTAAAAATATACACACATCTGTCGAATGCTGTGATAATGGTCTGGTTTTCAAAATCTCACAAGGAAATTCTGCAAAATAATGTTTGTCTGTTCATCACAGGCGGAAGGCATTTTGGGTGGCCAAGCAGGTTCTACAACTTGGAATGGGTGATGCCTTTGATGATTGGTTAATAGAGAAAATTCAGCTTCTGCGTACAGGATCAGTGATTGCTTCTGGAATCAAAAGGGTTGAGAAGGTAAACATTTGATTTTATCGAATCCCATAGCTTGTGTGTTAGTCCTGATATAAAGCTCTTATGTGATTCATCTAGATACTTTGGCCTGATGGGATATTCATAACCAAACATCCAAAGCGACGACAAGCACCACAAACCAGCAGCCCATCTCCGAGTTCTCCCCAGGGTCACCAACCTGTGGTAGTCTCTCCTCCTAGATTAACTGAAGAGCAAAAACAGGAAATGGATCGACGTGCAAAGTTTGTATATGAGCTAATGATTGGTACTATTTTTCTTCCTTCCCTATGCTGTTTATTTTCCGCATTTTAGCTCCATATAGTTTGTGCTTGTGGCCAATATATGAAAATAAGAAAGTTCATTTCAATGCAGACAAGGCGCCAGCTGCAATTGTAGGCCTTGTTGGTCGTAAGGAGTATGAACAATGTGCTAAGGATCTCTATTTTTTTATTCAGGTAAGAACATAATCTTTTTACAAAGTAGAAATGGTAATCAAGTTTTCTAACTGCAGCTCCAACAATAATGAATGTAAATATTAAGATGCTTACGATATTGTATTGTCCGAGGTACTTCCGCTTGGTGCATATATTTTAACAAAGTTGTGATAACTCTCTGTTGTGCAGTCTTCTGTTTGTTTGAAACAATTGGCGTATGACCTTCTTGAGCTGCTACTTTTGTCTGCGTTTCCGGAACTGGATTATGCCTTCAAGCAGTTGCATGAAGAAAAGCATAAATTTGGTGAATTTAAATATTAATGAAATCTTACATCCGGTTAAATTTCTAAGATATGGGATAACCGGGGCTTGGTGATTTTCTTCCAATACATAGCTTAGAAGATGTTCCATTGTTGTCGGCTGGTTTTTTTTTCGGATGACCAAGTCTGAAACATTCCTCATTGGGAATGATAGCATCAAAACCATTGATTGTTGATACATAGGTCTTAAATTTTTTTTTGTAATTAGTTTTTTGATTTGGCATTTTGAGGAAATTGTAATTAGATTACGAGATAAGTGCACATATATAAGCTAAAATTCTTTTACCAACGTTTGTTTCTTTATTTGTTCGAGCAAATCTTGTTGATTTTAATTTAATTTCCAAAAGTTATTTAAAAGGAAGTGTTCCAAGAGTCTTAAACGGGGAATTCATTGTGGCTTGACCAGAGCTTTCGTGGCACGTTAATAGGTTTGCCATTTGTACACTAATTAAGTTTAACATAAGAATTGATTTCATTTCATAATTTAAATTCAATTGATGTCCTTGGCCCTCATATTAATACAAAAAATAAAAAATAAAAAAAAATTATAGTAATAGAAGTCACTTAACACCTTTGGATTATCTTAATTAATCAAATACCATTCGATTCTCAACAAGAATATCTAAAACATTTGTAGTAGTTTCTTGCAGTGTTTTAAAACCTGACTAGTTAAAACTAGTTTAGTCGAGACCTAAGCCCTTCACCGAAATAGGTTACTAATTTTTCTATTTATTAAAAACTTATAAATTAAGACGATGAACAATTGAAGATTGAAATGTTAAGACTTTTAAAGAGAAAGTACAATTGAATAAAAAGGTGATGACAAAGGTGATTTCCAATAAATAAATAGATCAAAAATCACAAAAATAAATCTATAGCAACAAACCCACTGTTGTCAACGATTGGCAAGAGAACGAAGAAAGGGTGAGATAAGTTTGAGTCAAGAGACTAAGAGAAGTGTTTTTTCATGATGCTAGGAAGAGTTGCCGTTACCAAAAACAGACCCTATTTGCCCTAAGTTGTCGACGTCAACAGTGGCATTTGAATTATTTTTGCAAAATTTTAAACCTATAAGAACTTATATACAATATTTAAGGGTATTTTTGTTAAATTTTAGATCTTTGGACATAATTTGACCCAATGGTCAACCAGTTAAGCTGATCAACTCAAGACCCGACCACTTTGCCAAATTTTCAACCCTGGTTGGTTATTAAAACACTGGTTTCTTTAACCGCTACCGCCCATAAGACACACATTTGAGAATGACGACATAAACAAAATACCCGAATTTCTCAAATTAGTGACACAAATCAATTAGGGATCTCAGGTAAGAGCACAGTAAGAGCCATAAATAACACGACACTATGTGTAAACATGAAATAATTAAAAGGGTCAAACAACAATAATCTCGTTCATCTCCGTCCAAAAATTCATTGAAGCTACATGGTAAAAAAAAAAAAAAAAAAAAAGTTAACTAAAAATGGAAAAGTAAATAACATCCTTCAAACAATGTTCTCATAAAATTTGTCCCAACACATGAAAGCCAACTAAATCTATTATAAGGTACCAAATTGCGCCCAAAATTACCCTTCAACTGCTTAAGCAGAGGCTGCTGCTCCCTTGTTCCTTGGGGCTGCTTGAGTGCCTGATATTTATTAAAGTTGATTAATAAATGAAAGCCCCAGCAGTAAATAAATTAACTAGATGCTAAAGACAACACAACACTACAGAAATAATAATATGAATGAAACCTATAATTTAATACCTTCTCTGAAGCCACTCTTGAACCTGCGAGGAACATGGCGGAGATACCTCATCCTACCAGTTCCAGTGGTCTTTCTTCGAATAGCCTTCACACTCCAGTTATCTAAAACACATAATATGATAACAGTTAGTCAAACATTACAAGAGCACATCCTTTCCTATACAAATGTAACCACATAAATAAAAGTTCATATATAAACACATAATGTTTACGTTAGCCCTCAGACTGTAACAGCAATACAAAGACATACACATCCACATATCTATAATTTAATGATCATAAAAGTGAACAAAAGAAAGCATCATGTGAGCTGGAGAACCTTCATAAAGCATGCTATCATACAAAACTAAGTTGGTTATATGTATTTCATGCAGCACATACTAAAAGCTGCAACAATGAGCTTTTGTGTTACAAAAGAGGGAATCATTTTACATTTTTTTACAATGAGATTTTTATTAGATTTAAACAGGACATAACATGAAGAATCAGCCAGAAAGCTTAATAACCATATAAAAGCATAAATATATTTAAAGCTCAAAATCAACAGCACAAAAAATAATATACATTTTGATCAATTAAGCAGAAAGCAACAGCAACAGAGTTAAAAGAACCCAATTATTCATCAGCAGAATTAAAGATTGATATAACAGCAGCTAACCATCCAATATAATACATACTAAGGACTTCCTACTTCAAACCAGAAACAAAACAATACATACCCATCAATACAGGCACACATTTACCCATTTCATATTTTGTCTATGACCTTTATTAATATTACATAAAACATGGTTATCAAATCGTGTATTGTATCGTGTATCAAAAACCTAATTTTTTGAATCGTGTATCACGTATCGAATCGTATCATAAAATACTGCCTTTTTCAAAAAAATTAATAAAATAATCAAAATTTTCTAAAAATTAATATAATCCCCAAGATTAATTAAAGAATTTTGTGGTATTATTGACTTTAAATTACAGTATTACATAATCAAAATTAATTACAAAATTCCAAGATCAATATCAATATTTATATCTCCACTTATATTATTATTATCATGTAAAATCGACAATATATATTTCTCTTCACTTTCTCCATGCAAAATAGGTAAATTTGGACAGGTTTTAGTGAATCGGGTTGGGTGACCCGATTTCGACCCGATTTTTTTTTTGGACATTTGGCCTAAATTAATAAAGTCGTATCGATTTATATCAATATTTTTAAGGATACAAACGGATACGTATCGTATCGTAAGATACATATCAACGTATCGAATGGTTTATGATACATTCTCTAATACATATCGTTGGCGACCTGTATCGAATCGTATCGTATGATACATATCGGGTATCGTAGGATACTAACAACCATGACACAGAACATAACATCAACAATGAGCCAAAAATCAAACCCGTATATAAGCAAGCACAAAATTAACTAAAAAAACCCCAACAATATAGCAACAAAAAAATATACTTTAGACTGGACACTTAACAATCAAAACAATCAATACAATAGCAACAAATCAGACGTATATAGGAGCTTCGACTCCAAACCAGTATCAAAACAACTACAAAACCAGTACACAAACACATGCACAAATCATTAGGTTTTCCCTATGAGCTTTCTATTAGAAATTAAACCGTGTATAACCCAAACAATGAGCCAAAAAGCCTACATATAGACCTCAAAATTATCAAGAAATCAGCAAAGCAAATCAGTAGCAATATAGCAACAAAACCCATGTATAAAACACACATAAATCCAACAATCATAATCATTGCTTTACATTTGTAGAAAACAAGGAAATTTAAAGAAAACAAAAAAAAAAAAAAGTTTTATTAAGCTTACACGTTCTCTTGCGAGCAGCAGGGAACGCACAAGCGGAGCAACGGCTCTTCTGAAGATGAAAGCTCCGACGGCCACATCTCACACACAAAGTGTGTGTCTTGTTCCTCCTCTTACCGAAACTCCCAGTACCCTTACCCTGTCAATTTCATCATTCAATTCAACTTATTCATCATCACAAAACACAAAAAACAAACGGGCAGAGATGTTCAAGAGACGGAAGAACGAGAAGAGATTCATTTAATTTTACCATTGGAGCTGAAGCGAGTGCGAGGGAAAGGCTTCTGTTAGAGTTCAAGAAGCGGCGCAGACAGAAGGTTTATATGATGAGGCCTAAGGGTTTTTTAGGGTTGAACTGTGAGTGACGAGGGCAGCGGGTGACTCACGTGGCAAGATCTTGTTGGTTGGATTAAACGGGCGATCATTGAGTGAAACGTGATGGGCTTTCTTAACACTTTGGCCCAACTCTAATGGATAGTGGGCCGTTATGAGTTATACGGGTTCGGACCGGGCCATTTAATTGATAACCTACTAGACTAAGGTTTTGGTGTTTGGCGGGAAATCTTCTTCGCTAAAAAGACAGAGAAATCATTTCCATCCCAAAACCCAGAAAATTTAAAAAATAAAAAATCAGAGAAAGGATTGATGGAAGAAAAAGGGGGTGACAGAGAATTCCCGGCGTTTCCGTACAAGCCATATTCTATTCAGCGGGAATTCATGAACGCCCTTTATCGTTCCCTTGATGAAGGCGGCGTTTCCATGCTCGAAAGTCCCACTGGTACTTACAACGTTTCATTCTTTGCATTTGATTCAGCTAGAAGAGACCTTTGATGGGCATTTCATTTTTTTTTTTAATTTAATTTATGGTTTCTCGGTAAATGATTGGTTAGTGTAAGCAAATATAGAGATTTGATTGGTTGTTAATTGAAAGAAATATACCTTTAAAGCTCAGCAGACCTCAGATCTGTTTTCTGCTAAACTTGTTTGTTTTAACGTTTGAATTGTTTATAGTAAAATGTAAATTGAACTTTTTAACAATGAATATACTGGGAACGTAGAAACTGTTTTGAGTGATTATTTGTAATTACTTCAATCAATCAATGATATTTGTACGTTTCTTACAAAAAAAAAAAAAAAAAAAAAAAAAGTACTATTTCTAATTACACTCTTTGGGGTAAGAGCTTCAAAAGGTGAAAGAATTTAATTGTAGCTTAAACGGATTGGTAAAACTAAGTTTTTGGTGAAATAAGCGTGTGTGTAGTGAATGCAACTAAACTGAAATAGATGTGTTAGTTTCATTTGAGCTGAAAATTTTGTTCTCTCATGACATGTTTTGTATTTAACTATTTGTCTTGTTGGGTCCAAAATACTGGGAATAAGGTTTTTAGAGTCTTCGTTCTCCTTTGGTTGCTAAATGATTGGAAGAAAAATGATGAGACCATAATTTTTTTCCTTAGATTTATGTTGCTTTTTTCCCCTAGAAACGAAAAATAAAAAAACTGTGATGTAGGACTGCGTACAGATGAATTGAGTGTGTTGGAGATTTGTTTTGATTGGTAGGTTTGGGAATATGATTTTGTAACTAATCACAAAAGTTCCCATGTGAGTTATTCATGTATTTACTCGGTGTTCTTTTTTTTTTTTTTTTTTTTAATAGGGACGGGAAAAACTCTAAGTATCATTTGTAGTGCTTTGCAATGGGTGGTTGATCAGAAGCAAAAGCAGAAAGCTGAATCAATGGTTGATTTTGGTAAGAATGTGGGGAATGATCGTCAATGTCGTTCTGATGATGAACCTGACTGGATGAAAAACTTTACCGTGAATCAAGACATTCAAGCAGAAGAGAAGAAGATAAGTAGCAGATTTAAGTTTGACAGGAGAAGAAATAAAGAAAATTATACAGATTTGTTATCACGTGATGTGAAGAAGGATGGTTTTTCTTTGAAGAAAGAGTTTGAGAATTTGCAGAAGGCAAATGATGGATCAGAGTTGAATGATGAGGAGTTTTTGTTGGAAGAATATGAAAGTGAAGAGGAAGGCGCTTTTGGTAGTGTTAAATTGAAGAGGAAGGCCGGTGGGGTTACTGTTAGTTCATCAAGTGATGAGGAAGAGGAAGAAGATAGTTTCAAGGAGGAGGAAGAGGAAGAGGGGTTTAAAGTTTATTTTTGTAGTAGGACACACTCACAACTATCACAATTTGTAAAGGAATTACGGAAGACTAATTTTGCTAATGAAATAAAGGTTGTGAGTTTGGGCTCTAGGAAGAATTTCTGCATAAATGAAGGTAAAGTGATCTTGTTATTTATGTAGTTAAGTTAATTTCTATATGCTTGACATTTTCTTAATGGGATTTTCATTTTCAGAGGTTTTGAGACTTGGAAGCTCTACTCAGATTAATGAACGGTGCTTGGAGCTTCAAAAGAACAAGAAGAATGAAATTTGCAAAATCAAGGTATCTAATGTCCTTATTCTGATCTCATAATTAAACTAATGATGCATCCTACCGGTAACATGCAAAAGTATAATTACTAAGTTCAAGACACTCAAGCAGATTGTAGCATGCAAAAGTATAATTATGTTATTGAAGGTTCATACAACAACCTTACACCCCATAACTTGGTTGTTGTTTTTTTTCCCATTACCTTCAATTCTGTAAGCATATAGTTGCTAGACTCTGAAAGGACCTGTAGATCATATAATTGTTTATTAGACACTAGGAGCTTGTTTTCGTTTGGTTTCAATGAATTTGTTTTCTTAATCCAAACCAAGGCTTTGAAAATACATTGCATGATGATTAAATGTAATTACATGACCCTACCACTTTTATTCGATGATAAAATGTAATTACATGAAACCATTTTTATTAAATGTTTGAGATCTAGGTTGACAAATGCTGGATGATTTCCTTGTTGAGACAAATGAATCATGTCTGCAGCAACTGTTAGTTCTTAATTATTCATTTAATAATTTCCAAACAATTTTATAGGTTGGAGTAAAGTCCACATCTACTATACCTTTTATATTTTTTACCAATGAGAGTTTTTGATTCGCAGAACTTAGGTGCAGAGGGAAAAGTACGTCGAACCAAGGCTTCTTCTGGATGCCCAATGCTCAGAAATCATAAACTACAAAAGCAATTTAAGAATCAAGTTTCCCAACAGGAAGCATTAGACATTGAAGATCTTGTTCACCTTGGAAAACGTATGGGAACTTGTCCATATTATGGCTCACGAAGCATGGTCCCAGCAGCTAATCTTGTTGTTCTTCCCTATCAGTCTCTTCTGTCAAAATCATCTCGTGAATCACTAGGTCTTAACTTGAAAAATAATATTGTTATTATAGATGAGGCTCACAATCTGGCTGACTCCCTCATTAGCATGTATGATGCTAAAATTACCCTGTCACAGGTAAATAAATCGTCACCACCAAGTTCTCTCTATTATCACTATTGTGTCTTTAGAATCAATTGATAAGCTTGTATTTGATCTTATGTGCTTTAAAATGCTTCAATGTATTGCTCAAATACCCTTTTTCAGTTAACTGGTTAATCGATGATACATTGATGACTATTCTCTAGTCAGGAACCTCATTTCCACTTACAAGCTTAAGCCTTGACAATGATATAGGAGTTTTTGGATAGTTTAAAAATAATGAAATGGTAACAAATGTATTGTGATTAGTCCAGTTGGAGAATGTACACAACCACATAGAGAAATACTTTGCAAGATTTCAGAATCGCTTGGGACCTGGAAACCGAAGATATATCCAAACTTTGATGGTTCTCACCCGGGCTTTCCTCCAAGCTCTAAACAATGAGAGGGATGAGAGTTGTGCAAGCCAAGATGCCGAGAAAGCTACTGGAGCTAAAACTGGTTCTGATTCGTCCATGGCCATAAATGATTTTCTATTTTCTCACAACATTGACAACATTAATTTGGTCAAATTGCTACAGTATGTAAAGGAAAGCAATATCATTCTCAAGGTGATGTATTTTCTGTATTTATCCTACTTTTTTAAGATTGAGTTTATCAATTGTTTCTTTCTTGTTCATGGTCTATCCGTTTTGCCAGGTCAGCGGGTATGGTGACAAAGCTTCTAACTCAGAGAAAGGTTCAGCAGTCAAGGACAGTGGAGAAAGTTTTGAAGAAGGGAGCATTCTTTCCGGTTTTCGGGCATTAGCAGATATGTTACTATCACTCACAAATAATGATGGTGATGGACGAGTAATAATCTCAAGGAGACAACGAACATGCTTTGGACAACAAGGAGGATTCCTAAAATATGTAATGCTCACAGGGGAAAAGATTTTTTCTGAGGTTTGGCCAGAGTTCTCTCATTTTTGGCTTATGTGGATCTATTACATAATGTAATATGTTATTGTTTATTTATTTGTAAATTAGTCTTTTTTAAGACGATATGGCCATTTCCTTTTCTTCCCAGCAAACTGAGATTCTAAATAGGTGTAATAAGTTCCTGTTGGGTTTAACTCCCCAATAATGAAAGTTTTCACTAAACTTTCTGCAGGTTGTAAATCAAGCACATGCTGTTATTCTGGCTGGAGGAACACTGCAACCAATAGAAGAAACGAGAGAGCGACTTTTTCCTTGGTTACCTCCTAATCAGTTACATTTCTTTTCATGCAGTCATATAGTCCCTCCTGAGAGTATTTTGCCGATAGCAGTTTCCCGTGGCCCAACTAGTAAATCTTTTGATTTTAGTTATAGATCCAGATGCTCGTTAACTATGGTGAGTATATCGCAATGTTTATCTGTGATATTCAACAGAAACATTTTGCAATGCTAGGAATTGAATATTCTGCTTAATGATCTGCATAATTTAGTCCAAATTAGTGGATTGCTTTACCCTTTATTTACCTTTTATTTTTAATGAAATATATGGTACAAATCTATTGCAAACAATTTTGTTTGTGTTAGTTATGTCATATTTAATTTTCTTCCCGTAAGTTCTTACTTTCTGTCCTGATACCTTAATAGATGATTACTAAACCATGTTGATGGACTTCATATTGCAGATAGAAGAGCTAGGGCTTTTAGTCTGCAATCTGTTGACAGTGGTTCCTGAAGGAATTGTTGTGTTCTTCTCCTCATTTGACTACGAAGAAAAGGTATATGATGCATGGAAGACTTCAGGCATCCTTGACAGGATTATGAAGAAAAAACGTGTCTTCAGAGAGCCTAGAAAAAGCACCTCTGTAGAATTTGTTCTCAAGGAATACAAGGACACAATTGATACTTTGTCTCTTGGACCAAAAGAAGGTTCAACTCCTCTCAATGGTGCAATACTCTTAGCTGTAGTGGGTGGAAAGATATCAGAAGGCATCAACTTCAGTGATGGGATGGGCAGATGTATAGTCATGGTTGGACTGCCCTACCCTAGCCCATCGGATATTGAGTTATTGGAGAGGATAAAGTATATTGAAGGTCTGGGAGATCCAAATTTTACTAGAACTCCCAAGATTTTACCAAGTGATGAATATTATAATGGAGACGTCCAGGCCGGGTTCAGCATTCTAAGAAGCTGCAGGCGAAGAGGAAATGAATATTATGAAAATCTCTGCATGAAAGCTGTAAATCAATCAATTGGTAAGTGTTCTTACGTATTTAGTACCTAGAATAGAATTGCATCTATTGTCTTATGACCAATGCAGTGGTTGATGGACGCAGAAAAAAAATAATAATAAATAAAAAAAATTAAGTTTGTTAAACATATCACTGCATTATATATAATGTCTACATAAATGCATTGACATCTTTACTCTTTTCTGATTTTGTTTATTTTAGGTAGAGCGATTCGGCATATAAATGACTATGCAGCAATTTTGTTGGTTGACATGCGTTATGCATCAGAATCGTCAAAAAGAAGCTTTTCTCACCCAACTAACAAGCTTCCACAGTGGATTAAAAATAGTCTTGTTTCTTCTACCAATAACTATGGTGAAGTCCATAGGCTGCTGCACCAATTCTTTAAGTTCAACAAGAACAGAAGCTGTCCATAGTAAGTTATAAAGAAGTTACTGAAATTGAAGAGAAAATTTAGTGTTATGCCCAAATAAACAAACCAAAGTTGTATCAATTGTCATATATACAAATCAGAAGAAAAATTATTTGCTTCTGTGCATTGTCTGTAAAATTGCTGTTATGCGAAGTAAAAATCACAGTGATAAAGTTTCTGTGATATGGAACCCCTTAATTTGGAGTATGGTTATGGAAAATTATTGTAGAGTGTTTAAATTAGGTATATTTCCATTGATTTAATGTTTAGATGCCATTATCAGAAATGGCTTGAATTGTTATCATCAGTTTCTCAATTGTTTTTTCCCAAAATCAGATGGATCATGTGAAAAGTTTTTATTACTTTGCCCTTTGACATTTGATCACATGGCCGAAATATACTGCATTGCATGTGCTATGGCTAAATCTGCTCTTTAACATTTTCCACAAGGCAATTGACATTCATTACTTCCCTGCAAGTACAGTAATTTCTATAGGTGAAAAGTTTGAATGAAGATAAGAGAAACACTTTTCACAATTTTTTTCACAAACGTTGACATGATATCTCGTAATTGATCAATTTGTATTTGGTCAGACGGGATTTATTGTTGGACAGGTGAGATCCATTGCGAGTTGATCAATTATGAACTGATACGTCGCGTTTGTGAGAGAAAGTTAGTGAAAAGAATTTGTGAGTATAGTATATAAATGTTTTTGTTTCCTGTTTTCCAAATATTATAGGTTGGACAAAGACTCCAGCAAGTACAGTAATTTCTGAATTATGCAGCAGTTAACTTTAACTATACTGTAGGCAAAAACAAGCACCAAAATTTGCAGGCATTAATAATATGTTGCAGTGAGAAAGAGACTTCCCTGCACAAGGATAAAAAAAACAACTTATCCTAATATTAACAGGGTTTGAGAATTGAGACCTTTAGATGTACCAACTTCATTACAAACTTGGGACCATCCAGCTCTTTCCTATTAATGCATGCAATAGGACTCTGCCCTACATCGATGCCTTACAATTGGGGGTCAATCAATTTCACATGCTCCAACATACCCTTATAAGCTTTTAACAACCCTAACATGCTAATGATTAATTATTGCACATCGAAATCCTTTTTTTTTTTTTATAACTACAATATTCGAACTAGTTTGTGCGTACTTTAACTAATTTTTAAGATTCATTAAACACTTTACAAAGAAATATTATACAAGTTTAATGGATCAGATAAATCAGTAAATAATCATTTTTTGAGACTCAAAACACGAAGACCTTAGAACAACCCACCCAAATGACTAAAATCCTGTCATCTACTATAAACCAAGTGGTTAAATCCATATTTAATTTGTTTAAGCATTTAGTATACTATCATTATTTTGATGGCTAAGTGGTACCTTCAACTTCTAAGTTAAATGATTACTTAATAGCTATTAAAGAAGACGCTGTAGTATGGTCTGTGTATTATAGGATCAAATCCTTCATTAATGTAGGGCAGAGTTTTTGAATGATTGATGAGGACCACTTGATTTAAGGGTCCCATGGTTGATGAAATGAAATAGTAGAGAACATCAAATCTTGAATGATGGATTAGCATAGCATGCTTTTCACCAAACATTACCTTTAGCTTTTTATCTTAATCAATGCAACCTTGCTTTAAACAACAAGAAGTCAAAAACAAAACAAAAATCTTTCTTAGTCATGGGATTCCAAAGAGCTTACTCTTCTTAGTTTATGTTAAACATGTTTAGCACCAATGAAATGTCTGTCCAAACTTTAACACCTCCCCTGTTGATTTGTTGATGAAATAAATAATCAAATGGATCATCAGAATTCAAACTGAAAGAGAGATAAAAAGAAAAGACAAATACTGAAGGATGTGGACAAAAAGAAGAAAAAGTATGAGCCAAAACTGAGGAAAACTTTTCCTTTTAGACTTTATTAGATTTTGTGTCTAGTTAATTATCTTTAAGAAACTTTCAACTGTCTCTATCTCTTACCTGTATTACCTGTATATTGGAAGAAGCGTTTGGAAAAGAGGCCAAGCATTAGATCTCATATCTCTTCTTGCAGGGAAGAGACACTGAGAAAATATGCTGTTTAGAGAGTCTATTGAGAAAACCAAGAACTTCTTTCAGAAATCCCTTCTAAATCTCAAGTCAGTTGTGTTTGGAGGATACGAAAAGCTACCGAAACCTACTTTCTTGAACCCCTTTTCTTGCAGTACTTGCAAGGCTGAAAATGACCAAACAGATGAGTACTACAGAGATTTCTACACTGAATGGGAGTCTGATCTAGATGAGGCAAAGAAGGGAAAGAATAATAGTGTCATACCATCGAAAGAGGCGGCGAAGGAAGAAGATGAATGCAGTGCAAGGTTTATGAGTTTTACGAAGCAGAATGCATTGAAGAACAAACAAGGGGGAAGAAAAGAAGAGAAGAAAAAGGGAAGTTTCCGTGCAGATAAAAGGGAAGATCAGTGTTGTCATAACATGAATGCAGAGAGTTATGCATTAGCGCAAAAAATGAAGCAATTGGATATGGTTGATGCTGGTGATGTAGAGCATGTGTTGGACATTGAAGAGGCACTCCATTATTATTCTCGCCTCAAAAGTCCTGTTTACCTTGACATAGTCGATTGGTTTTTCATGGATATGTACTCAGAACTCTCTGTTCCTCAAGCTTCTGCCAAAATCAACAGTTCAAAGCGAAGACTCCGATCCATTAGATTGTAAAAAGTGCAGTCAGTCAGTGAGTTCTACCTTGTGCATATAGAACTGTTATTTAGTCCTATTTTCTTTTCTTTATTTGTGTGTGAGAGTTTTGTTTGTGATTGACATTCAGCTTGTAGGAGTCTCTATTGCTATTTGCTTAAGCCTGTCTTGTTAGTTGTTACCAATAAACTATTTGCAAGTGTAGACATTAGAAATCCATATTTCAGGTCTTCCTTGTAGGCTTTTGTACTATTTTTTTCACCCTCTTTACCAGTATTTGTTAAAAGAATGAATGTGTTTAGAAGAAACAAGATTGAATTGGACCATAAATTTCTGTACTAAAGGTTCCGACATGATGAGGATTTTGGGTCATCTGTTTGCACAAACACCTTCACTACTATGCATTAAGCCAATTAATCAAAACCCCACATACTAAAGCTTGTGGGTAAGGGGTTATTTCATTTTGGCTCTATCGAATGCCAATAAAGGAAACAACATCTAGAAACCGAAAAAAAAAGGAAAGAAAGGCCATATGGCCATTAATGGAACTCATGAATTACTCTTACCATTTTGTCAGAAAATTCACTACCACTTATAGCATTAGTATGAAGCAGATTAAACAACTAGTTTTCGGTATTCTGGACGTCATGTCTAGAAGGTAACAACAGAAAACTACTCAAGTTGTAAACATATCAAACTACTGCACAGATTGCAAATGTAACAGGTAAGATGCAGGCCGAAATTCCTTATCCATCTCTGTCTATTCATGCCACTTTTGAACAACTGAGACGGATCTGCCCCATTGGTACTGTCAAGACTCGGAGGTTTGAGAGCTTCATCATTGCCAAGGCAAAGTTTTTTCGAAACAAAGAGACATCTGAAGCATACGCTGTCACCCAAATCCTAGTTTCTTCACCAGCCATTAGCTGCTGATCAGAATAAAGGATTCCTTTACCTTGCAAAAGATTTCGATAGTAAGCTGTGCCAAAACCTGCTGTAGTTCCATCCTGAGCCATATCTATTCCAGGACCCTCACGTGAGGAAGAAGATGATTCTCTTAAGGAAAAAAATGATGCTGCTGATGATAATGGTGAACCATCAAGGTGAGGCGATGATACTGCTGACCATAATGGTGAGCTATCAAGGTGAGATGATGGCACTACGGATGGTACTGGCGTGTCATCCATGTGAGATGATGACGCTGCTGGTGGTAGAGGTGAGCCATCCAATTCAGGTGATTGTGATGCTGATGATAACGGTGAGCTACCGAAAACAGGTGGTTGTGCTTGCTGTAAAGATGGTGAACCATCCAAGTGAGGTGATTGTGTTTGCATTGATGATGGTGAGCCATCAAGGTGAGGTGATGGTGCTGCTGATGATAACGGTGAGCCACCGAAAACAGGTGGTTGTGCTTGCTGTGAAGATGGTGGACCATCCAAGTGAGGTGCTTGTGTTTGCATTGATGATGGTGGTGAGCCATCAAGGTGAGTTGATGGTGCTGCTGATGATAACGGTGAGCCACCCAAAACAGGTGGTTGTGCTTGCTGTGAAGATGGTGGACCATCCAAGTGAGGTGATTGTGCTTGCACTGATGATGGTGAGCCATCAAGGTGAGGTGATGGTGCTGCTGATGTTGATGGTGAGCCCACAAAGGAAGGTGAGGGTGCTGATGAAGCCGATGAAGTGTTCCTGCACCGTGATCTCAATAGGTTGAGGAAATCAGGATCTACAGATGGATCAGGCTTGTTAGTCCTGCCAAAGTTGTAGAGACGGTTTTGGAAGAATTTGCAGTGGATTTCTCCAATGCTGTGAGAACCTGTGGAAACAATCAAATGCCAGTACATTACTTGCAGCAGACATTTCCATAGCATGGATGAAGAAAATAACCACAATTGTAGTTACTATCATACAAACTGAACTAAAATAAGATTGTAAATATGAGAACTATCTAAACAAACGTCCATGATAAATCTAAGCATTCAAATACTCAGATCAGGATTTTACAAGCACTGACTAATAGATAGAAAGAAATATCTTATAGCAGAAACATCTAGTCAAGCTCAAAATGCTACAAAGCTCCAATACATATCTTAGTCAAAGAAGACTGAAAAGATCACTCAAATTTGGGTTCTGAGGGAAGCAAGAATAGAAATGAAATGAAGTTCAAGATCTCTAGTGCTATGTTGCATTAATCTTAGAATAAAATGAGGGAAACTAAGTCAATTCAAGTAAGTGAAGCTATTGTTCTTGGCTCGGGTGGAAATTTTGTTCTTCCAGGTGCCAAATTACAAAATATCCACATTCCATAGTATTTATTAATGTTTTCTTTTCCTGTACTTTCTTATAAACCAAACTGAATAGAAGTACAGAACCAACCCAGCAGACGATCAGTTAGAATGCACAAAAATCACAGAAAAATGAAGCAGTAATTCAATACAAACTAAGAATTTCTAATTACTTAGAAAGAAGATGAGTAAACAAGAAAAGTCTTACCCAAGAGACTAACAGTCTCTCTTAAATCAAAGCCCCTTGAGCCGAAAGACGCAAGGGTTTCTGACAGATCTCCGTGGGGTGAAGGAAGCTCAAATGTTGCAACATCTGAGAAAGCAATCAAACTGTCTCTCCTACCAGTATACAGTGGATAGAATGGACCACCGGCCTAAAATCAAATGAAATATCAACAGTTATATAGGATAGAGAGAGCCTAACTTCATAAATTTGAGAAGTTCTTTCAGCGACAATTTTACCAGAACAACACCTTCCCTTGCTGCCAAAACAAGTGTATCAGCACAAGAAACAACAGCAGGGCATATTTCTTCAAGCTCTTCCTTGATTATGTCAATTATATCAAAACCCTTTAGATCCTCATTCGGAGGAGAATCTTTCTCTGAGTCAATTCCTTCAGCAGCATCCAATAAAATTGAAGCATCACATCCCTAAACAAGTCCCAGTTATACAACAATCCAAAAAATTGAGATTACAAAACAATGGATCAAAATGGAACCTAATATAAAACCCAGATCAAATTGAAAAATACAAGAAAATTCATAAAACAATAACAAAAAATAAATAAACATAAATAAGGACTTGAGAAAAACTAAATTAACATGTAAACAAACAACCCAATCACAAATTCACCAAGAACCAAAATTGTTGAGTTCAGTGAACCCAGATAAAGAATCAACGAGAAACAAAATACAAAAAGAAAAAAGAACCTCAATGAAACAATCATGGAAGGCAAGGCGGAGCAAAGCGGGAGCGACATCAGAGCGGACTTTGTAGAGATACCGAACTACAGCTCGAATAGTCTCCTCGGCTTCAGGGCACGAATCTCGATAGAAATCGTATTCTAGGCCACGAAAAGACTGGTCAAGATTCTCGTCCTCCATGGACAAGAACGCGGCTCGAGACGCTGAAAGAACCGGAGATGGAGAAGTTGAAGAAGAAGAAGAAGAAGTAATTAAGTTGAAGTATTTCTCGGTATCTGCATTTTGGTTCTGGAAAGAGATCAAGATGCATAGAATGATTACTAGCAAGCTGAGTTTTTGCATTACAGTTACTTCGAAGATTGACACCCGCATTTTGTTTTCGTTTTTTTTTTTTTTTTTTTTTTTTTTGTTTTTTTCTTTTTAAATGTTTTTGTTTTCTTTGGGTTTGTTTTCTTCTTCTTCTTCTTGGTTTTTGTTCTGAGAATTATTTGTGTATTGTGTTGCAGAGTTCGTTAATGGAGAGTGGGCTGGTGATGAAGAACAAAAAAGCGGGAAAGGTTTGACGAAATGACGGAAATGCCCTTGTAACTGAAAGTTCGTTAACGTCGTTTGAGATGTGTGACACTGATTTGACAATAGTGTCATTGAGCTTTGGAACCATGTTTTTCTTTTATTTATTTATTTTCTAGAATTATTATTTTATTAGTGTATCGTGACCGTTGAAATTAAAAATTTGGCCATTAGCTGCTCATGATCATGATCTATCTATAAAAACAATAATAAAATAATATTAATCTTTTTCTTTTAATCTGTGTATTGTATTTTTTTTTTTTTTCATGACAAAAAATTTCCGAATTTCTTTTAATTTTTCAGGGTTTGTTTTAATTTGTTCTGCTGTAACAAACAAAATTGGAATAAGCATTAAGCAGTCCAACAATGACTATTCCATTAATGAATCAAATTACAATGCTTGACTTTACAAAAGCATGCCGTTACAGCATGCAAATCCCAATGCATATCATAACAGTAACTTAGAAAGAATAAAGAGAAACGGTAAAGGGTATTATGGGAAAGAGAGGTAGGATCTTATTCCAGTATGAAGATCCTCATCATCTCAAATCTAATAAAATTACCATACCATACCATACCATAGATATATAATTTAACTGGTGAATCATCAAGCTAAACGCTGCCTCTGATACACCAAGCTTCAAATAATGCTCTCTTTAAAATCATAAAACTGAAAGAGCAACGGCACAATGGGGCCGATGATATATTGCCATCATAAAAGAGTACCAAGCTAATAATACTGACTTATGTCCGAACCTCTATATTCAATCAGTAACCAGAACTCGATACTAAAACGTTGTGTTCTTTTAGCCGCCTCTGGAACTGAGCTAAACGGGTTTGTAATTGCATGATGCCTGCAGCCTTCTGAGAAAGAATGACATTCAATCTAGCTACATAATCATCCAGTTGATTCCCTGGTTGATCTGCTTCAACCAATAGATTCATCTCCTGCAAATGCAATTATAAGTATTAATTATCAAACGTGCATTTACAATACTCGTTTATGATTTCATTTGAATTTTTAGACCTAAGTCGACGTTAACCACTGCAGAAGGCAAATGATAATACCTCTTTAACAATATTCATTGTGTCCTCCACTTGCTTCCGATGAGCATTTACAAGATCTTCTTCTTCCTGCGTACATCCAAAAAAAGAGGTACATGTCAACAAACTTTGACCACTATGTGTATACATAATCATTTAGTTTGGCAAATTACCTGTAGGAGGGCATTCAATTCATCATCAGAATTTGAGTTCTTGAAACCAGATTTTGGCTGCTCCTTCCATTTTGTCTGAACATTGGGTTTTCGTAACTTGTCTTCTGTGGGGAGGTTGAATGGCTCTAACTTTCCATTTTTCTTCCATACTGGTTTCTCAGGTTCATAGGAATCTTCTGATGCATCAAAATCATCTCTTTCATTTTGATCAGGCCAAGCGTCAGTGTCATCCTCATAGGTAGATGCAGTTGGTAAAACTGAAGATAAGGGCACAGTAGTTGATTCCTTGAGGTTTATAGTTGAAGACAAAATATCCTTTTTAGGATTGTTCCCTTTTGAAAGACTCTTCACCCTGGAATTTAAGTTTTCATTAATATATGAGGGTTGAAGGATGTGTTAAACTCATACAAGAATTAGTTTCATGATCAGATAATCGCATTCACCTGTCAGCATATCTTAAGGTGTTGAGCGTATGTTCACAAGAGCCTGAGCTTGGTGAAATGCATGATATCATGACAGTGCGAGAATTGCCAACAAATGAATCCCTCAGAACCTCCGTTAATTTACTGCCTCTGAAAGGAATGTGACCCTGGTCATTGTCAAGAGCCCTTATGCATTCCTTTAATGCAAGTAAACTCTTGTTAATCTCGGCACCTTCCATTCTGCATCATTCATTAGAAATAGCTAATTAATCAAATCTAATAGACCAATTATAAAGAATTAGATTTGTACAGCACATCCTTCCAACTAAAATATCAACTATAAAGAAAACAATGTCAATAATGGATGTATAACACCATGAATTGGAATTTGAATTTGAATTTGAATTTAAGTTTAAGAAATAAATTGCTGATAATCAGATTCACTGTCTAATATCTTCAATTTGTTTGCATGGCGTAGTTCATTCCTCATGAAATTCTACTTCGCATACAATAGTCTCCATATAAAGTAGGAAAAGGTGACTGATATTAACTTAGAGCCTTACTATTGTCCCGCATATAAAGGTAACTCAAAATCCAAAGGGACAAATTTATTCTGCACTTGAAGCTGTTAAACATCTTTAGCACCTCCAGGAAAAGGCATTCCTAGTCATTTACAAACAATCCAATCCCACTAAATTGACACAAAATGCAGAGACAAATATCCTACTTTTCATATACCAGCCACTGTTTCACTAATCTCCGTGTATTTTAAAATATCACAATTCGATCATGAGAAATGATCAACAGACAACACAACAGAAATCTGAACTACCAGTAAAAGAAAAGAACAAAAAGATGATACCTTGTCTGTCTGTCATTATCTGTAGTATCAGCACCACGTTCACTTCCAGCAAGATCTATAAAGGAAAGTTTGCCAACAAGACGGGGAGGCTTTGATTCATTGCCATCAACTGACCTCTTAATGGCAAGCTGAAGGATGGCATGTGAGCGGGAGGATTCCTCATTAGCACCAGTCGTGCCCGTACTTCTAGTGGAATTACCTCTCTCAATGAGCTCCCTAATCATCTCTACATCTGATACCCTGTACTCTTGCAAACCCACAATGCAAACTTGCTGCTTACCATCCTCTCGCATGCAAAGTTTTCTGCACAAGTAGGGCTTTAGATTTTGAGCAAATTTTTGAACTGTTAAAACTTAATAGAATACCAGAAGATGACAGGTTAAACCAACTTACTTCCGATCACTAAGGAGATCAAACAATTTCCCTCCATATATTTCAAAGAAGCTGACAAACAACTGAAATCCTTGGTTCCGATAAGTATGGTGCATCAACCTCAATATGTCTCGTGATGCTTTGAGGGGCAATGGTTTCATAGTATAGGTCTTTCCACTTCCTGAACAGGAAGAAAAATCAGATGAGTGCAAGCTCATTTACATCAATTATTCAATTTTTTTTAGATGACTCTACAAATAAATGACTACAAAACATCAAACTTTGGTGGCCAATAACTCTTCAAATAAAGCACTGTACGGCATATTTTGAGTTTAGGTTTAACCAAGAGATCGATGATTCACCACATAGATTTATAAAAATTTCAAAGTATATAAGAAAAAATATGGCTCAACATCAAAAATTCCAGAATAAAAGAACGATACTAAGTTCTCCAACTGCAAGTCTTCAACAGTATTTATATAAGATTTGGAGTCAGCACTTCACCTGTTTGCCCATATGCAAAGCAAGTTGCTTTGGTGCGTTGAAAAATAATAGGAACTATAGGCTCCACAGTCTCACGATATACCTACAGTGAATATTGAGACCAAGATCAACTAAAAAGACATTAACTTCATCAGGAGGCATACACTGTATTATATTTTCTTCAGGTTCATTTATTTGTTCTAGTTATATTCTCACCTCATCATTTGAAACCTCCTCATTCAGCACAGCATCAAAAACAAATTCATGCTTCTCAACATATTCTGTTAGGTCAACCTGCAAATGTCAACATCTAAAAGATCAATATACACAGTATCTGAATGAAATACTTTGTTAAAGCATTGGGCTCAGTTTCTGCAAATAGAATGATGAATATATATAACACATCATATGGGAAAACAAATAATTGCTTAAACTACCTTGGCATCACCTACCCTGGGTAATCCAATATATTTCTTAACCACTAAAGATTGTATGGACTAGGGTCCAACAGTAATATCTCGAGTTTCAAACCCAGCCACATAGAGCATTTTTGGGGTTATCAAGAGAAAAATATATAAAAATTTATATTTCTTATGATTAACATTTGTTTATTTTTGTTATTCTCATTCACATAGGTTACTGCTTAGGACTCAAAATAGGACACCCATATCTATGAATGGCTGGCTTCATGTTGGAGCTCCTTGTTCTCAGATGACTTCTTTAATATACCATAATATTAGAACTGAATAGAGTATCATATCATCAAGAAACTCACCTTAAGTTTAGTCTCATGAACTGTTATAGTATTAGAAAGTGTCTCAATAATATCCTCCTCATTCTTTGCCAACTCCTTTTTATTAAGAGGCCTCTTGCGCACCTGAAAAGCAAATATCACCAATAAATGCTAGAAATCTAGATGAAAGGCAGTACTCAACTGTCAACTCATGCCTCATGCAGTAAACATTGCAGTACAGGGGAAATTCTCATCATTTCACAAGCTATTTATCAGCGAAGCCTCATGTGTTAATAATAGCATTTAGAATATAGAATGTATTAGAGTACATACCACAACTTTGATCTTTGCAACAGAACTAGCCTTCTCTTTGTCCGCAGCAAAGCTTTTCAGGAGGTTGTTCTCTGGCAAACCACGAGCTCTACCAGTCTGTTTATTGTTTAACATATATGGTTCAGAGTCATCAAAGCTTCGCCCTCGGACAGGATTATATAGAGAGTTATCATCATACAGGCCTGTAACTGGCATCTATCCACATGAACATAAAAAATTCAGCGTATCAATACATCAAAAACTATATTACTTCATTGCAACTTCTATTAAATATCAAGCAACAAATGAAATCGACAGTAGAAGGCAAAGCCTAGTGCACATCAATTTGAATTGACATACTTGCTTGACGTATATTTAATCCAGTTGAATAAAATTAAAAGGAAATGACTACTGAGGGTTATATACTGTTTTCTTTGTCCTATTTGGATGAAAATGGGAATCAACAAATTAACGTAAAAACTTGAAGGAAAAATAAGAAGAGGGGGAAACAATAGAAAAACAAAAACATTTAATCTGGAACGTAAACTAGAAAATGTTTCCTAGAATTCAACACTCTTATTTACTTCCATTTTCTAGTTACAGCACTTACACTGTTTGATTGTTTAATGATTGATCTAGTCATCATTATTCAATAATGATGAAAATTTTCAATTTTCGCACAAACTGAATGAAGTTTGAACCCAAAAAAAAACTTTCTAAGTGCAGTTTCAATTCATCAAGAGAAAGTACATGGAAAGAGAATAAACCTGCCAATGAATATACATATGACAGTGAACATTGAAACACACATGCACAAGTACATCCAAAAATCAAACAGACACCTGACTTCCTCACTGGTTCAAACTAAAATTGTTTTGTTTGACTTCAAACCAATGAAGTTAAAGAGTATTAAACAGGCATACATACCAAACGCAAATCCATAATCATGATAAAATCAAAACCAGAGCGACATCTATTAGAGTAGACACCTCACCCACCTCAGGAAGAAGTTCAGTATCAAAAGAATGCAGATCCAAGAGCCCAGGACTGAACTCATTTGGTGACTGCTCGCCACTCTTCCTCTGGTTTGAGGGCCGGGAGCTAACTGGTGGTGTTGAAGGCTCTGTGTAAAACTCGTTTCCTCCATTAAAACCCCTCTGCCCAGTCCTATACATTCTCGAACCTCCACCACCAGCACCGCCATAGAAATTATAGTCCTGCTCTCAATTTAATCACAAAATCATAACATCAGATCTATAAAATCCAAACATTTCAATTCATCAATTTAAAATTTCATATTCATTTTTCTTTTCCCTTCCCGCATTTTCTCAGGAAACAGAAAATAAAACTAAAATCATGGCATAAGATTTATATACTTCAAATATTTCCATTCATTTACAGAATTAACACTCAGAATAAATTACGTCATCAAAACTCATAAAGTTTCTTTAATTTGGCTGAATTTCTCAGCATTAAACAGAAATTAAAACAAAAAACAGAGCATCAGATCCATAAAATCCAAACATTCACAATCAATCACAAAATATCAACATTCTCCAAACTCTTCATCACAAACTACATTATCAACGAACTCATAAAAGTTTTATTTACTTCTCCTGCATTTTCTCAGCAATCAAACAGAAAATAAAACTAAAATGACTGCATCAGATCTACAGAAATCCAAACATTTCAATTCAATTAAGAAAGCAACACTCTCCAAACTCCTTGGTACAAATTACAATATCAAAACTCAAATTTTATTTTATTTTTTCACTTTCTTGCATTTTCCTAGCAACCAAACAGAAAGTAAAAACTAAAACCACCGAATCAGATCTGTAAAATCCAAAAATTACTATCCAATCACAAAATAAACACTCTCCAAACTCCTCGGAAAAAAATTACGTCATCAAAACTCACATTTTCTCAGCAACCAAACAGAAACCAAAACATTCAAAATAACTAATAAAAAAAGCGAAGATCGGAACCTGAAGAGGAGGCATTGAAGCATTAGGCTGTTGCAAATGCTGGAGTCCAGCCGATTGAAGCCATCTCCCATTCGACGAACTCTCCAGGAAGTTATCGGATGACCACTGCCTCTGGTGGTGCACCTGCACCCCCGCCGCACCCGATCTCTGCCCTCCCTGCCTCCCGTTCATCTCCGCAACCAAAAATTGACTATCGTACCCCTCTCGGTAGAATGTCACTCAAAACTTCGATCTTGAACTTTCTATCTAGAGCCCTCGCTTTCTCTCTCTCTCTCTGTTTATATATAAATGTGTAATACTGAAGCTCTCCACGTCCACGGAGCCTCTGTGCGTAAATTCAAATTAAAGTTTTGATTAGTTTTAAAACTTCTCAGTAATTAGAAATTAAACGGTAAAAAAAAAAAAATGAAAAAAAAAAAAAAGAGAACTTAAAAGAGATGAAGAAGAGTGATTTTGAAATGTGTAAGAGGCACGTGTGAGGCACGTGAGAGCGATTTTAATTGAAAGGGTACGGATGGGATGGGTGGTGGTGAAGGTGGAGAGAGAAAACGACGACGGTTTGGTGGAGCATGAGACCCTGGGAGCAAGGGGGAGTGGATTTGATTTGAACTGAGCTTCACCCACCGTCGCTCACATGGTGGGGCCGGTTTGTGTTTCTTTATTTTTTTTTGGGATTTTTTCGCGCTTGACTTGTATTCAAAATTCGTGCTTTGGAGGGATCGAACAAGGAGGTGACACGTGGAAGGGATGGACGCATGTAACATGGATTCATGTTGCTTAAGCATGCAGTGATTGGATGAGGAAATATAGATAGATGGATGGATAAAGTCTCCGGGCGGTGTCGTATTAATGTCTAACAACTAACGTATAGAACACTTTGAGAAATTTATTAATTAAAATGTGTTGTTACAATGACAACGTCCATGATAAAGATTCTATAAAAAGGAAAATTACTTTATGGTATGAGTATTATGTGTGATGTTATATGAAAGATTGCATTTCACCTTTTATTTCTCATTCCAACTAATTGTCTTTAAGATATTTTTATGCATTATGTCAACACTACATAACACATTACTTAAAATAAAATATTTGGAATTTCACTTAAAAATTGTAATATTATTAAATATTTAGAAACAATTTTATATCAGCGAAATTATGCTGTGAGGAAGGAAGAAGTCTCTAACATAAATAAAATCATAATAATATAATCCATGGTTTTAAAACCTGGTCCAACTCGACCGGTTTAACCGTTTGAATCGGGACCCGAAGCCTTCGTCAAGTCAAGTTATCACTTTCAACTATTCACCCTAAACCCTAAAATTATGGATAGCGATCGGCAAGCATACGATGACAATTGTGTTGAGACTTTTGGAGAGGGAGTATCGATGAGTCCAAAGGTGGCAAAGAGAGTGATTTCTAATGAGTGAATCAACTGAAAAAGACAAAAATCCCCAAAACAGCAGGCTATTGTCGACGATTGGCAAAGTGAATGAGGGAGGGATGAGATGAGTTTTGGCTTGAAGGCTGAGGGGAGTGTTCTCGTGGTGATGAGGAGTATTTTCATCACTGGAAACAGGCTCTATTTGGCCTAGGTTGTTGACGCCGGTAGTAGTGTTTGAGGTTTTTTGTAGGATTTCAAACCTATAGGGACTTATAATAATTTTTAAAGGTGTTTTTGTTGGATTTCAAACATTTGAACATGCTAACGTCACCAGTATCAAACCGTTTAACTGGTCAACCCGAAACTCAACCACTTTGCCAAGTCTCATCCCAGACCAGGTTTTAAAACCTTGATATAGTCTTAACTAGGCAGTTAATATGCGAGTACATCTCGTAAAACACACAAGTTGGCGAATGTATTAATATAATGTCACTAATTTTGATATTAGTATTAAGGTAATGATGAAGATAGGAAGTTAACACATTAAAAGTGATACTTTAAGAGGAATTGAGATAACACATTAAGAGTACAAAAGTGATACTTTAGAGAGAGATGATTATTTTTCTCTTCATTCTTCTAAATATTTATAGTAATTTGATTACTTAATGGTTAAATAAAGCTAATAATGATAGGATGTATCATCAACTAATCTTATAAGGTCTTTCAAAACAATTATTTATTTTAATGTAACACATCACTTGAATTGAACCTTATTCAAAAGAGAATAGAAATTTACCATAAGTTTTAGTGCAATATATATATATATAAAATTATAATTAGGGTGTCTGGGTCAGCTTATGTACACTTTAACTAATCCCCTGAGACTTTCGAACTATTAGTCGGATAAGAGCCTCAATAATTACCCCTATTAGCATAAAAGAAGAAATTCAAACTCAAAACACTTTGAATAATACACATAAAAGTTCTTATCAAACCGTTCAGCCACCCTTAACTAGTTAGTTTCAGTGCAATATTTATATCTCTCACGAATGCATATCCCTATAACATTAGTAAATTAATGTTACATGTTGCGATTCCTATAATAATATTATAATCTCTTTCCATTATCAACATTGATACGATCTTGTTGGAAAACCCTAATATTAAATGCATTGCTACAAGAACAAGTTGCAATAAGAAATTATTACACATTGAAGTATGGTTTACATTAAAATCTATGGCGTTGGTCGGTGAGCCCCATCTTGACCGTACGATACGACGACTTTACATGTGATGCCCTTGTACTTATATCCTCCTTTGGGAATTTTACAATTTTATTACTTTTTGATTTCATTTCAATGCTGACTTCCTATAAATAGATAAATTTAATACTTTAAGTGGATTAATTTTATATTATTTTATATAAATTGTGCTATGAATTCATGATTAATGACCTAGTTAAAGAATGTTGATTTGTAACAACCAACCATGAATTTATGATCTAAAGATGATAGATAGTGAGTTGTGACAACGAAGGTGTAATTTGTAATATGCACTTGCGAGAATTTAGCGAAAACTTGTTTTATCACAATTGGTAATCGGTAAGCTTTATACAACTCTCTTTCACATTTTTTTTTTTTTTTAATGATTGACTGTGTTTGGTAGACTTTTTAGAATAATATTTTCGAAAAAATTGAGTTGGGTTGTTATTACAATAATAAAATTTGAATTTGAAAATGTGTTTAGTAAATTTTTGGAAATATTTTCTAAAAATATTTAGATTTTTTTTAATCTCATACATTTGTTAATTTAGCTAAACACCTCTACAATAAAAGTTTTAAAATTAACAAAAACACCCCCACCCACCCACCTAATGCCGACAGCTGGCCACCATCGTCGGACGGTGGCCGAAAGTGCCACAATAGCGCATGACTGACTGATCTGGCTGTTAGTGCTGATATGGAAAAACGTCAATCTACGGCCAAAGATCTGGTCGTTGATGATGCTAATATCTTGGCCATCGTTTGGCTGTCAACAGCACAATCTTTGGCCGTAAATCTACCTTTCCGGTTAGATTCATAGTTGATTTGCCCAAAAAGCCAAATTGGCACATGATCGACTATCTCAGCCGGTTTACGCCATTCCAACAGATTCCGGTTACCTTCCAACGGTGGTGGTCCTGTTGGGAATATGTGGGTGGGGGGAGGTGTTTTTGTCAATTTATAAACTTTTATTATTGGGGGTTTTTAGTTAAATTACAAACTTAGGGGGTTAAAATCTAACATATTGAGTTGAATAGAAATGTTGAATTTTAAGAATATTAAAACAAATATTGTTTGAATAAATTGGACAAGATAGTATTCTAAATAGTAACCAAACATAGCCTAGATGATTTTAAATCAAAGATAAATTAATAATTTTAAGAAATTATGTGTCAAACTGTGGTGTCATGTCACATTAATTTGTAAAGATAATTTATATCCAAGTTTGTACATAGAGCAAGGACATGTTCCCACCAAAGATTAGTGAAATGACAAGTTTTCACCCTTGATTTCTTTTATTCAAGATTCCACTCTTAAAATAACACCGTTATTGACTGAGAATCTGACACAAGTGCAACGGTGCTATTACCAACTTCCCTCCGATATTCTTTTTCATCTCCCCATCCACATCTCCAACCACCGAGCCATTGCCATTGCCACCACCACCTAGCCTTACTGCCACCCGCGATTGACACAAATGCAGAGGGTACAGGCTCACACGGCCTCACACGCCATACTAGCTGGAAATGGTGTGACTAGATTTGGTTGTGGCTTTTTTACAAATAGATGGGGCGTCAATGGGTGAGTGGAAAACGGTCAGCTTTTCAACAATCTGATCTCCCAAAATTCAACAAATCAACTCCAATCAATAGTCAACAAACTCCAAACAAAAACTCCTACAAAATAACTCCACAACAACTCCAAAAATAAAAATCAAAGCACCCAAAGTAAATAACAACACAAAAGCAGTCACGTAAATGGCTAGTCGCGACTGACTTCTGTAGTAGAGGAGGTTGTCGAACCGGTCGTCACGGCCACAAATTAAACCTAAATACCGTAGTTAACGTAAGCAGGGTCGAATCCACAGAGAGCAAGACTAATGACCTATATATATTTGAGTCACGAAGAGAAATTGGCAAATTGATTGATTAAAACTAAGGAACTAATTAATTGAAGGAAATTAAAAAACATCAAATAATTGCTAACTAAAACACAATTTAAAAGCGTTGCCGCTACGGATTCGGTTTGACTCAAGACCAACTCTCACAATTCCTCTCCTCGCTCTTCAATTTCCTAAACCTACAAGCTAGACAAATCAATAAAAACATCTCCCGACAATCTAGGTATAATCTATCTTGTCTCTCCTTCGTCTTAGTTACAGATCGATTGGTTAAAGACTATCATCAACTAACCAAAAATGATAACCCTTAAACACCACTAGTTGGTTCAACATTAACAAGTACAACCTATCACTGTTATCATCCAATCAACTATACACAACAAATGCATTCTTAGTAGAAATGATATTAAACGCTAATACAACTTGATTGCACTCAGTATTGAAGCAATTTAAAGTCATAATCAACATTCAATGATCTCAAACCGACATTCAATTATGCGAAAAGTTATATGTCAACAAACGTTCTCAATGGACATTATCATTCACATCAAGCATCAGAATATATTAAACATCACAAACAAACTGAAACGAAAATAAATATAATCTAAATACAAGAACCTAACCAAATATCCAACATTCGGGCTCATCCACTAGTCGAGAATTGCCGAGAAGATCCATGAGTGTCGATCCTGATCTCCCTACACCGTAACGGCAACTAGAGCTCAGCCGCTCATGGTGGTTCAACGAAGGCTGAACGGTGGAAACAGCTGGTCATGGTGAAGAGGAAGTAACCGATAAACGATGATGCGAAGAAGGAGTGAAATGACCAACGGTAGCCCGAATACGAACAGTCGCACTCGTGGGAAACGTTAGTTTTTCGGCTAGTCTTCTAGCAAATGGTGGCGGAAATGGATTCGAAGGTACCGATGGAAGGCTCGGTGATGGGGAGTTCAAATCAGGTCCTGGAGATGAAAGGTCGCTAGAAAATGGCCTAACGACGGCTGGAATGCGAAACGACTCGGAAATCACGTGAATCACGACGATGAGTGTGAGATTGAAGATCGGTGCAAAGGGACATGAACCGTCACCGAAGCTTATCGGAGAATGTGAAGGGTTTTGGTGGGCGGCAGCCACCATCTCGACCTCGCGTTGAATTTTTATACAAAATATGGAAATTTCCATTTGGTCCCATGATTGAAAGGTGACAAATCAACCCCAAGTTTTATGACAATTTGACCCCTGAATGGCACAAATGAGACAACATCAACCCTAGAAAATAAATCACATCCTAATATCAACTTACACAACCAAATTTCAATCCAAACATGCCAAATTAGTAAGAAACCTCAAAATATGATTTTTATACATAAATTCATAATTTATCTTAATTATCTCAATATTATTTCATTTTAATCACATATGGTATTTTTCACCAAAATAGAGTCACTTTCATGACTCTAACAAGTCATGGGTGGCAAACGACTAGGGGGTGGTTTAGAGGGGCGAGGATGAGGTGGGTTTAGAAGGTGTGAGGTGGACTTTAAATGGCGACGACAAAGGAATTTTGGTGTCCAAACGGTCAGAAATTGGATGAAAACAGTGAGTTTGCATAAAAGTGTAGAGGCCGTTGGATGGCGATTTGAGGGTGCGTTAGGTGGAAAAGAGAGGGATTTTGGTTAGGGTGATGTGAGGTTCAGATGGAAGTCTTTGAGGTTCGGTGGTGCTATCCGACCAAATTAAGCTAGAAAACGACATCAAATGGGTGAAGATGGGTGTCATGGGAAAACGTGTGTAACAACCTTCGAAGTAACGAGGACCTCAGTCCTAATTTTGGTGGTTAGAACTGACGAGGAGCCTATTGAACAGTTGGCAGCGGCGTCAACAATGTAATGGGTTGGAAATCAGAGGGTTTTGTGTTTGGAATGACAATTTTACCTTTTAATTGTTACATTAACAATTTTCTATTATTTAAGGGTGGAATATGGTATAAATAAAAGTAGAGGTGGAAACTTGCTCTTTCACTAATCTTTGGGTGGGAACATGTCGATTACTCTTGTACATATACGTTAGTGATTGCAATAGTTATGATGAAGATTGTAGTTAAATCTTTTCCATTAATCGTTTACTTTATAGATCTTTCCAATACCATATTAATTAATCTCGAAAGAACAAGAATTAGTAGAATGCAATTCTTTCAATATAAAGATAAAAATCATGTTTCATTTCGATGAATAATGACTTAGAAAATGAACATTTATTTGTAAAGCCAACCATAAATTTGGAATTATAACGATTATCATAACAGTTTTTTTTTTTTTTTAAATATATAAAAATCTTTCGATCTCACGCTGTGAAACTGAGTTGAAATTAGAATTCTTATTTACCTCTATAATATTTTAAATAAAAAATAATAGTCTTAATAGTCTTCAATCAAGAGTTTCTATCACACATCCTGTAACCAGGTGGGTTAAATCATTATAATTAGAGTAAACGACATATTCCCACCGAAGGTTTGACGATCCTAAGTTGGTACCATAGTTCCATTTATACCATCCACCCTTAAAGTAATAGGAAATGGTTAGATATAACGGCTCAGGGTAAATGGTCTTTCACAAGGAGGCGCACATTAGCAGATCGTCGCCCCTAAAAAATCCGCGCACATTAGCAACATCACCGCCTTGTTTTTCGCTCTTTTCGGCAATTCTTCCACCCAAAATCACCCTTGTCACCACCATTGAACCCTCATCCTCCCTCTACAAAATCATACCCTTGACAACCCCTCATCACCCGCCGATCTCCAGCCACGACAGCCACCATATGCGACTGGTTTTCGTCGGTGTCCACCGTGAAGGCCACTAAACGTTGCTGGGACATAGGGGTTTTGTAGATTAGAGAGCTGGTTCAGTGGTGACGTCGAATTTTTTGTCACCGAATCGACGGAATCCAGCGAAGAACGACCAAACTTAAGTGACGGCACCGGTGATCGGAGGGCCCAATGGTCAGGAACCAGAGCGGTTTTGGACGACAGATGATGGGGAAGGTGATGGAGTGACCAGGGGTTTCGACCATCGGAAATAGCCCAGATCTGGTGAAAACCTAAACAGTGCACAATTCATTGAGGGTGTAATTAATGTAATTTCAAAATAAGATGGTTACTTTATAATTTTAGTAATTTATGGGTTAAAATATAATTTATTAATTTAGGGTTAAAGGGCATTATGGTAATGGTACCCTCATTATCCTAAAAAATATTAACAGTGTTATTTTAAGGATGAAAATCTGGAAAAAATGAAACCTGTGGTACCAACTTGGGGTTTCGTCAAACCTTGGGTGGAATATGTTGTTTACCCTATTTAATCATCTAAATTGACCCATTTTCCTCGTTAATCAATCTCAAAAGAACAGGAAATTGATTTTTACAAACATAAAAAACCAGTAAAGAGCAAGATTTACTAATAATATTCTCGCATCGCATCTCTCTGGGAACGGTATGGAAACGAAAGGTATCGAAGCTTCTACAATTTTCGTTCCCCCACCGACTACGTCTACACCCACCTTCAAACTCCGCAGAATCTTCTCGAACTGACCCACTTCACTTTTTTTTTTTTTATATATTCTCTTCAAAGCAAACACACGCGCAAATACAAACACTCGACCCCAACTTCTCTGACTACGCCCATTTTCATTTTTTCACTTCGTTCAGGCATTTTCACAAACACCTTGCGATGGCCGAAGACGGAGTCGTCACACTCTACAACGGCAGCGCCATCACTGACGCCAAGAAGAACCCGTTTTCGATCAAGGTTGGCCTTGCTCAAATGCTACGTGGCGGGGCCGTTGTTGAAGTCTCCAATGTGGAACAAGCCAAGATCGCTGAAGCTGCGGGAGCTTGTTCGGTAATGGTGTCTGAGCCTACTAGACAAGGGATTAAGCGTATGCCTGATCCTTCTCTTATTAAAAGTATCAAACAAGTGCTTAATTTTCCTGTAATGTCACGCGTACGTGTTGGGCATTTTGTTGAAGCCCAGATTCTTGAAAGTATTGAGGTTGATTATGTTGATGAGAGTGAGGTTTTGGGTTTTGCTGATGAAAGTAATTTTATTAATAAACATAACTTTAGGTGTCCATTTGTGTGTGGTTGTGGGAACCTTGGAGAAGCTTTAAGGAGAGTGAGGGAAGGTTCAGCTATGATAAGGATACAAGGGGACTTATATGGGTCGGGTAATGTGGCTGAGACTGTTAAAAATGTGAGGTCTGTGATGGGGGATATCAGGGTTTTGAATAACATGGATGAAGATGAGGTTTTCGCGTTTGCAAAGAAGATTGCTGCACCTTATGATTTGGTGGCTCAGACTAAGCAAATGGGGAGGCTGCCCGTCGTGCAGTTTGCTGCCGGCGGCATTGTGACGCCTGCAGATGCAGCGTTGATGATGCAGTTGGGATGTGATGGTGTGTTTGTGGGTTCAGAGGTTTTTGACTCCCCGGATCCGTATAAGAGAGTGAGGGGTATTGTGCAGGCTATTAGGCATTATAACGATCCCCATGTGTTGGTGGAGTGTAGTTGTGGATTGGAGAATGCGATGGCAGGGCTTAATCTTAATGAGGACAGGATCGAACAGTTTGGTCAAGATGGCGTGTAATGAGTCTTGATTCAAGTAATGTATCTCTCTTGTATGTTATCAAGTTTACAGTTAAGTTTTTTTAGTCTAATGTAGAGAGTATACCTGGTTTTTCTGTCCTGTTGCTTGTTGTTGTGTTTACTTCTTTGTGATTCTTGTGGTCCAAAATGTTGTATGGTGCATCTCATTGTGTGGAATACAGGAAGGAATTAGAATAAAATCTTTTTGATTGATTTACGATATAAGGATAGCATTTATAAATGATTATAACTGTGTGCTTATTTAGTAATTACATAATTGTTTATTAGGCCGTAACAATACAAATAAATGCCTCCTACCTACAGGCTTCCAGGTTGAAGAGTCAATTTTTTTTCCCTCACGATAAATGCTGTATGGTTCGCACAACCGGAGCTATATTTGTCAGTGATAAGATTTCATTGCTTAAATATTCTATGGTTTCTTGCTCTGCTCAATTTAGATTATGATAAATGTATGGTTGCTTAAAAAAAGTTATTTCATACAATTTATCTTAATTGACAATTTTACAGTGGTCATTTCCATTTTTCCTTTAGTTGTATTTTGTTCCATTAAGATTGGATGACTAACTAGCCAAAGTAAGAAATCTGATGTTGGTTTTTGGAATAGAACAGAGCAACTACATTTGATTGGTTACTTACTAACGTCACCTTCAAGCTCATCCAAACCTGTTTAGCTTCTCCAAGTGATACCTTCCCAATTCCACCTCCTATCTCTATTCCTACCCCATGTTCTATATGTTCTCAGTGGTAATATAAAGAAGATTCTTTTATAAAATTTGTAACATGTAGAAGATAAATTCTTTTTACATTTGATTGGTTATTGGTTAACTCTGACTTTGATCTATTCCAAGCATTGTGAACTTTCCCAAGAAATATACTTGATGCCTACTTTTCCCATGTCTTACTCAATGGTTTTGCATATTTTCAATATCGTTATAATGGGAGGAAATCAATGATCTCAAACACAATTAATCTCCTCCGTACTTTCTTATCACCTCTTTCACTTTACAAATATTTTGCAATGGCTGATGGTGCTGTACCTGTCCACAACACTGGCACTATGGTTGAGGCTAAGAGCAACCAAGTCATTGCCAAGTTGGGACTGGTGCAGAAGCTGCAAGGCGGGGCCATTATTGAAGTCACTGACGTAGAGCAAGCCCAGATAGCTGAGGAAGCTGGAGCATGTTCCATTGTCATTCACCACGGGATATCTCAGCCGAATTCATATCTCATCAAGGATATCAAGCAAGCAGTCTCAATCCCCATAATGGCCAGAGTTCGAGTTGGGCATTTCGTTGAAGCACAGATACTGGAAGCAATGGGTGTTGACTGTATTGATGAGAGTGAACTTTTAGGTATTGCCGATTCTGATAATTACATTAATAAGCATAAATTTCATGTACCATTTGCTTGTAAATGTCAGCATCTTAGGGAGGCAATGATGAGAGCAGCAGAAGGTGCAGCGATTATTTGGCTGCACGGGAGCAGAAATGGGTGGAATTCATCCACATCGGGAACAATTGTCGAGACAATTCAGAATGTGAGGTCAGTAATGAAAAAGGTAAGAAGTTTGACTGATGAGGATGAAGATGAGGTTTTAACATTTTCAATGAAGATGGGAGTGCCTTATGATATTGTAGCCCAGACCAAGCAAATTGGTCGGCTTCCTGTGATGCAAATTGCAGCAGGAGGCATCCAGACGCCTGCTGATGCGGCACTGATGATGCAATTAGGCTGTGACGGGGTGCTTGTAGGATCAGATATATTCAGCGGTTTGGATCCATATCGGCAAGTTCGGTCAATTGTTCAAGCTGTCAAGTATTACAATGATCCGTATGAATTGATGGGGATTTGCTTTGGTTTAGAAGATGTTGAAGCAGGCAGTGAAGTTGAATATTTGGGGTAACTGAGCAAATGGTCCATTTCTGGGCATAAAGTTACCTTGATTCCAAGTCTGTATACCATTTACTTGTATGATGTTACAAAAATATTACAGAATAAATTTGTTGATTGTTGAAATCTTGTATAGCAATGTCTTAATAAAGGAAAAATATCAGATTGGCAAGGATTGCACACGGGTACAGAATACTTTATTTAATCTTTTTTGGTGGTAGATATGGTTGTGAACTTTGGCTACCACTCAAAATATACACCATATATCAAATTCTTGATTAACCTACAAGTTACCTATTCTTGAATTTGCATATATATATATATGGGATATACTGTTATGTAATTGGCGAAAGCTTAATGTCTCTAGATTGTATTTTCTGTTTGAATGCTTCCATTATTGAATAAACACCTCAAAGCAATCTCATAAGCAGAAAATATAGCTCCATTCACCACAAAAGCTCTTGCAACTGCAGTTCCGAGTCCTCGCCAGAGCACACTGTAACCTTCAGCTTTTACACTCTTGTTAAAGCAATCAATGATGCCATTGTATTTTTGTATGGAAGATGGTGACTGAGCTTGCAGTCTGGTCTTCGCGACATCAAGCGGATAGCAGCAAACCCAGCTAGCCACTCCTGCTAGCCCTCCAGCCATCAGCATTGTTCTTAGGCTTTCCTGGCAGTTCTTTCTGCAGCCAGGGTGGAGCTGCTCCCTCATGTACTCGTATGACCAGAAATATAAACCATGAGCGGGTGCATCTCTGAGGACCGTGATGGTAAATCCTCGAAACATCCCTTTTAATCCTTCTTTTCGCAATATGCTCCTGGCAACGTCTACGGGACCCTTTTGGCGATCTGCTTGATGGGATCTTGCATGGTATGTACTCTGCAACTGCAGGCGGATTTTTACCAGTTCTACAGGGCAGAGGATTATGCTTTGAATAGCTCCTGTACCAACTCCTCCCAGAGCAACACCTTTGTAAGAAGGAGGATCGTTGGCAGGAACTGATCTGTCAAGTGCTCGAGAAAGGATAGCATAGATCTGAAAAACCATCGCATTCTGCCATGTCCGAAATTTTTGTCAGTTTAGCACCAATATATATATTCCGAAGACAACTTCAGACATTCTTTCCAGAATTGAGCACAAATTTTACACTAAAAGGCACAGCCCTTTTAACATATTCTACTCGGCACTCAAAATTTTAATATCTTCGTGTATGTGCTTGATGTTAACTTCTTCAATAAGCAAGACATATTCCATTCATTTATCAAACTTTGGACCCCTTTCAAGATAGAGGGATGAGGCCAAGCTTCTCCAGTTTTTGTGCAAGATCATGAGTGACAGAGGCAAAGGCTTCATGTGTTCTGGTGAAAGTAAGATCGGAAAAGACATACCATACATTGATTATCTTAATTATTAACCTTTCGGTAACTATTGGATTCACATTTATTCAAATTTTGGGATTTAAACTAACAATTATTAAAGGGTGATGGCATTATTGATCAAATAATTTTCCTATTGTAAGTCATATTCAAGTGTTTGGCAAAGGCTGGTAATTCTAGTCGAATTCCTGATTAAGACATTTCTAGTACGAAAAACAAAACATCTGTCACTTCGACAAGCATGAAAATTTAGTCCAATTACCAAAAAGATTCTAAATTCAAACAAGAATCATGGGATCATGCAAACAACTTGGTTGTGAAACACTTTATCCAATTCACATCCATGTGATCCTCTTAAATTTTAACATCCAATCACTTTCACATTCAAACAAATCTCACAACAAACCATGAAAGATCATACAAAACAACCAGTAAATCAAATAATTAAACTAACTAGAATGAAAAGATGAACCAAAACAGACTATAGCAGAGAGGGTATTAGCAGTACCTGAAAGGTGACTGAAGCTAGTGGTGCACCCATGCCTCTGTAAAGAGCTTGAGGCCCTTCAGTGGCCACCAATCTGCGCAGAATGTTAAAGGCTGAGCCAGAATTGGAGTTTTGTTGCAGAATTCTTACGGTGTCAAGAGGATAACCAGCGAAGATGCCGGCAATTCCACCAAACCCTCCAGCCACAAACTCTTTTCCCCAACTACTTGCAAGAAACTCTGGCCAGAAATCCATTATGCTCTCTATCTCATTCTCCAAAACAAACACCAAATCACAAGTTTCCTTGCCAACTTAATATACAAATATATAGAAAGTTTATTACTTTTCAAAAAAAGATTTATCAAAGTTGATAACTTTTACTTCCTCAAAAAACAAATTTCCTTTTTGGGGTTCTCTTCACAAATTCATCCAATCTTTCAATCTCATTAATTATTTGTAGAAGTAAAGAAGATGAAACAAATCAAGCTCTAAGCCTTTTCATTTCCAAGAAAGAAAGAAAGAAAGAAACAGAAAGAGAAGCAAAACGAAACACCAGGCTCAGAATTGCAGAGTTATCTTTGGCATTGTAATGAGAAACTTAAGACCGAAACAAAAGCCACCGGTCGCTATTTTGTTGGGAGTTTAAGTGTAGGAAGAAACGGCCAACTTCCTCTTTTCGGACAACCAACAGCATTTTGCCACGTTGCAGCACCTTGTCTGCTGGGTGGTGGGTGCTTTCAGCCTAGTGTTAACCACATTTCTCATTTGCCCACTTGATATTGTCATCAGTGTTTACGTGACATGACATATCTCACTAAGGAAAGGAAAGGCCTTTCATATTATGCATATGTTGAATTAATGATTTATATAATGTAAGTTACGTATTCTTTTCCTCCTTTTTCCATATCTATTTTATTGATATAAGTTATAGATGAGGATGATGATGAAGAACCCAATATTGTTCTCAAGTAAAAAATGTTAAGTCATGGGTCATATAAAGTTTGGAACTTTGCTATGCTGCTTGATTGCGTATAAGTAGGGTGAAGAAGATTTGTCTTCATGTGGCGTAGTAGGCTAGATTTGTTACAGCTTTACACCTTTTGTTAGGCAGAGTGAGATCAGGTCCATTGATAGAGTTGTTAATTGTGTGTGGGCACCAGCCATTGACAGTGCCACTTCATCACCCAATAGGAGTTTGGCACGTAAGATGAGTTAAGTGAGGAATCATGTGATGTGATCTTGATGTTAAAATGCAGAGACAAGAGCTATGTCAGCTTGTGGGTTCTTTAATAATTGGGTTGGTATGGGAAATGGGAATGAATGTTAGGTTAGCTTGTGATGATAAGTTGATCTTGGTATCAGCATATTATCAGCATATCAAAATGAAGAACACTTATTTTCTTTGGAATTAAAATGGGCCTCTATGAGCCACATATCAGTCTGACTTTACATAGCCAAAGAGTAGCCTACCTAATCCAATAACCCAGAAAACAACAAAGCTATGGACACCAGTATTTGCACCAAATATGTGAATCAGTCTACGTGTCCCCTGAACTCACACCAGCAATCTAGATATATGGTTAAACAATAAATATTTTTCTAGTGAACGGTCGTCTATCAAATATGGACGACTGTTCACTTACATGGACTCCCGTCCATATTATATGTACGGGGGTTCATTTACTATAGACGGACGTCCCTCTTTAAAGGACGCCCGTTCATAAGTAAAATGCAATAAAATATTTTTATAAAAATTAGAGACGGTCATTCATCTGTTATAGACGACCACCATTCATTTTGGACGGACACCCACAAATAAAAGACGCTCATCCTTAATCCAAATATGAAAATTAAAAAAAAAAAACCTTTGGGAACAACCGTCCACGTTTGGACGGTCGTTCGTAAGGAATAGTCGCCCGTCCTTTATTGTGGTTTTAAAAAATAAATAAAAACTTTGAAGTTTGTTCAAGTGCCCATGGTGGTCGACTCTCTTCCTTCACATGGTCCAATTCCTGTGAAACTGATCGAACGGCAACATCAAATGAGAGCACATGGTGGTCACCATTTGGCCCCAAGTTTACTTCTTTGTCATCATAAATTGGGCTGCCATTTGGCTTTGGAGAGAGTTGCTTGTGGTTCTTCCTGCCACTGAACCAAAAAGGTGGTAAGGGAGAGGCAATTTGGTGTTTGTTCAAGTGCCTAGCATTATCAGACCCCAACGGACTCTGACCCAAATCAATCCACAATGAGTTGTCTGACGACTCATCTTCACTGCAAACTGGACTTTTCATTACTTCCCCGACAGAGATACTCTAAGTTTCCCCCAATATGGTGCTTGTTCCATCCCTGTCAGAACTATTATCCTGATCCATTTCCGTATCAAATACATCTCTCACCTGAGCAGATGTGAATGCACCAGAAAAGGCTGGCAATTGAGAACCTGGGCGAATCTCGGATGGTTTATCACCATTCGCAACAACCTCATTATCTTCAACTCCAGTTAATCTATCCAGATCATCAACAGAATCACTAAGAAGACGAAGAAGAAGAAGAGCACAGATGGGGAATGAAGACGAAGAAGAAGAGAGGAGATGGGGAATGAAGACGAAGAAGAAGAGGGTTTAATGTTTTAAAAAGAATTGATAGCGTGATATTGAAAGTGTTGAGTCTAAGGAAAGTGATAATGACAGAGAAGGAGAAGGTGGGAATGATAATGATGATGATGAGGAGGAGGAGGAAGAAGAAGAAGCGGCAAAGGAGGAAAATGAGGATGAAAGTAAACCTGCAATTAAATGGACGGAGGTTGATCGGAAGAATCTCATGGATTTGGGGATTTCAGAGCTTGAAAGGAACCAATGTCTAGAGAAGCTTATTGCGAGGAGGAGCTCGTAAAAACTTGAGACTGATGACTGAGAAGAGTCTGATAGATTTAGAAGGCAAAACCCATTCTTCCATTTAATGTTCCACCTATTGCCACAACAAGACAAAACCCATTTCAACAAGACAAAACCCAAATTTTTTATTTTGTTTTTTAAACCAGAATATGACGTCCGTCCAAACATAAGGGACGCTTGTCCATAATTTATGTTCAGACGTCCTTATTTTTTTTTTTTTATATTTAAGTTAAAGATGAACGTCTCTTATTTATAGACATCTGTCCAAAATGAATAAATGATCGTCATAATGAATGAACAACCATCTCTAATTTTTATAAAAGTATTTTATTACATTTTACTTATGGACGAACATCCTTTAAATGAGGACGTCCATCCGTAGTAAATAGACCTCCGTCCATATAATATGAACAGGAGTTCATATAAGTGAACGGTCATCCATATTTGATGGACAACTGTTCACTAGAAAAATATTTATTGTTTAATCACGTGTCTGGATTGCTGGTGTGAGTCAAGAGGACACGTAGACCGATACACATTTTCGATGCAAAAATACCTGTGTCCGTAGTTTTGTTGACCCAGAAAATATTGTGTTGTAGTGCCTAATTTGCATCCTTACTGCACATTGGCGTGGAAGATGAAGGGCAACTAACCATAACAAGTGTTTTCCCACTTTTGCAGGCTTATTCCACATTTGTGGCTTGTTTACCTCAAGGTTCCACAGACATTCAAATAACCGACAATGAGCGAGGGGAAAAAGGGCATTGCAGAGGGTCATTCCAAGTAGCTCTGCAAAAATTCTCCCTGTGGACATGGCAAAAGCATCTGAAACATCTAAACCAAGAGCATCTCCTAATTCTAAAACAAATATTGTTGGTTCTACCAACTATTACCAATTGTAATCGATAAAAAAGTGTTGATTGTACCAACCATAATTGCCTACCTACATGGTATGCAACAACTAATATTCCAAAATCTTAAATAGGGCATGGCAGATCAATCAGACACGATGTCAACATTTGTACCTCATGAGAGCAAGGAATCAATTTTATAATTCAAACTACATGAAAGCATATCATTTCGACACAGGAAAAGCACAAACATGCAATTCAGATTTATAGAGTTTTACATTGAAACAGTGACCCCAAGTTTGGTACTAGACTTAGCATGAAACTACACCATCACATTCACGAGACAAACATAACAGATGTCACACTAAACAAAGTACACTTGATAATGAAATTGGTAATCACGATACATGAAATTGTAGTTTGAATTAAGATTTGGGTTTTGAAACCCTCATTTCTTCCCGCTCTTCTTGAGCCCAGAACCTCCAAATGATCCCTTCTGCGATGCCTTGGCTCTAAGCTCCTTTAGGGCCTGTTCATCATGTTAACCAAATCCCATTAATCTCTTGTCACAGTCTAAGAAAACAACCACTAGAATCGAGAGAACAATGTTTTACCTTCTCCTCCTCCTTCTTTTTCTGAATGTTCACCAAATCATGCTGCATAAAAGCAAACACATTTCATAATATAAGAACCAACAAATTAAGCAAATATTTAAAAACTGGAGAAACCTAAACCAAATACCAGATCTTAATAGTAACCAAAAAGTTCCAAACCAATAAAACAACACAAATTAATACAGCAGCACTTTCAAAAGCATATGCCATGGAGAACAAGTAAAGAAACAGATCAAGACCAGCCTTAAAAATTAACAACTGCATGACAATGGCGAAAACAAACCATCTTTATGAGGTATAGAAGAACCAATAACACCACAACCTTATATGGGGTAAATATTTCCACCTTATATTACATTCATGGTATCTAAAACACCCAATTTACCTAAAAATACTTGAATCCAAGCCTTATGATCAACAATACAAAAGCAATGCGTCCATCTAGCAGAAAATAGCTAACTGATAGTAAAACAATTACAAACTATAGCTAGGAGAGGTAAGACAATTACAAATTATGGGTATTTAATTCATCGAATAAAAACCAGCAAATCATCAGAGGCCTAAGTCAACACCAAAAATACGACTTCACAAATTACATAACAATTTGGCATTCATTAAACTTTTCTAGCAAATCACAAACTATAGACATCATAGCCACACAACAATTAACAACCGAAACAAGGTTTTCACAATTACTCATAACTTAACTAAAATAAAAAGGCATATCAACAGAAGCAGAACATGTAATACAGAAATTAACGAATAATTTATAAAACCAAAAGAAAAGTAATTAGATTAACCTCATCGTATTCTTTCTTATCAGCCTTTGGTTGCTTCAAAGGCTTGGCCTTTCCACCTGCACAATCCCCCCAAAAATTAAGAAAAAATTGAAAAACAAGGTGAGAAATTCAATTGAAACATTAAATTGATCAAATTTGAAGAAATCCCAGATGGATATGTACCTTGTTTGGACGACATGGCTGAGAATTAGGATTAGGGTTTGGTCTGAAATTCGTGATTGGCGAAGAAAGAGAGCGATGAAACCCTAATTACACGATTATTGGAAGGCTCTTTTATTGCGGGTCAGGCTACAGCTTTTAATAGAGTGGCATAACATTCACGTGCGTGGCACGTGTAATTGATTATATCCCCTAATTCACTTTGATTTATTTATTTTAATATAAAAATTATTGTTATTTTTATTTTATTTTATTTTTTTTGGGTGGAGGAATCAGATTCCACTTTGTGCGATTTGAAAAAGAAAAAGAAAACATAAAAGAAAAAAAAAGTTACTTTTATTCACTAATAAGTACAAAATTAATTAAAAATCATGTAAAAAATAAGCTACATTTTAATTCAATGAAATTGGAATTAATTTAAGATGAGAATGAAAAAGTCAATTATTTGAGTGTAAATTTTTTAAGATAAATTAAATAACTCTAAACTATGATTGTAAGCTTG